AATAAGTTATTATAAATAACGATAAGTCGTTCTTATATAAGGAAACTGTTGGATCCATGTGATTCCACAGTCAAACCATCTATACAGAACCCACATGTATGATTAGATAAGAGATTAGATACCGGATTGTGAGGTCACTTAGCCAGACCTGCAGGTCCAGCTAGACTTCCCAATCCAACCATCAGCAACATTATGACCTTGACCCAATACTCGATTATTATGATTGATCGTAAGCCTGTTCCAACAGAAACTTTTATTTTATAAGATATAAAAAGAATTAAACCGTTTAAAAAAACCTTATGTTATTAAATATCTCTAATAATAAAAACGAAGTTTAATTAAAAAGTAACGTAATTAAGCGACTTATTCGCAAAACTAAGATTTATTTAAGAAGCTTTAAAAAACATCGTATAATAAGAGACGGCAAGGCCGCTTCCGGAAATGGTGGCTCAAACATGCCATTTTGGGCACCTGCCCTGTCGGGCAATTCTCAGCCATGCAACCTCTCGCTGCTTTTCGTACACCCAGAAATGGGATCAACCCCTCATGTACCTCCCAAGTCCACTTGTACCTCTTCTTCCCTTTGCTCAGTTCAGATCACGCTACGCCTGACTCCGTCACGGCCCTGTCTGCATTCCAAATAACCTTCATGCATTAGCGACATTAGTGGTGTCCAGCATATTTATACCCTGCAATTAGCATATGGCTTTTTTATTGCATGTGCCATTACAATATTACTTGTGATTTATCCTTAGCCTTTGAACTTGCGCGCTATGGCGGCCTCATAAGTCACTGAATGGGCCAAACAGTCAACTCGTCGTAGTTGACTTGGGCACTTCTATGAGCGCCCATGGCCAGGCCGTAAACCTGCCCAGTGAGATACGGCACAACGGTTTGCGTTGTCAGCCCGTTACGGCCTTCCCTGAACCACAAGGGGCATGAATTTCTAATCCACCAGCTTGTGATGCCAGAAGCGAGAAACGGCAGCAGATTTTCCTCATCGGGCAACTGTTCAGGTCATAATTTGAGCCAACATCCAGCCGGACAAGGCCGAAGGGTCAGCGGTTCCCCCGATACCTGCAGCATGTCACAGCGGCGATGGAGCTTAGTGGAAGGCAATAGTCATCTCAAACGGGGTACCCATCTATTAGAAACAGTTTCTGGTCTCGATTGTCAACATCAGCAGGGGGTTCTTCCATGGAAGCAATACGACGTATCAACGGATGCTCACGAGGGTTACAATGCTGTTACGAACCAACAAACATGACAGGGGGACAAGACCCGCTCCTAGTCAAGAACAAGAAGACGGGAGCATACAGACACGCACAGGCCAAGAGAAGAACCCTGGTCACGTGATCAAGACATCACGTGATGGATAGCTTCGATAGCGAGGTTATCCAACATGTCCAGGATAGCTTGGATAGCGAGGCTATCCAACATACCCACACCATCAGTGAGGGAGAGATTGGATATATAAGGATGGACATTTCCTAGTTAGACAGATAGACAGTCTCTACCTAAGTGATCAATCTAAGCATCTTAGCCAACCCTAAGGTGGGAGAAATCTCCTGACGACTCGACTATTCAGTGAACCCAGTTCAGACCAAGCCCCAGCATCTTAGTGTCTTCTAGTTGACAGAAGGCTCTATCGTCTTTTGTGTTGACTTACCTCAGAACATAAACCCTATAGAACCCTTTAGCCTTATAGGTTAGACGGCTCGTCACATTTCGCCCTCGCTGCACCATTATGGTGCCGATTCCTGGCAACGGAAGCTTGAGCATTCTCTTCGTCGTCCGCGACGGCTTCAGAGCATCCTTTAGGCTTTGTACTTGTTATCACTCGTCATGAGAGATTTTTCTTGCATCTAGGTTTGCTTTGAGTGCTCTCTTTTCAGCCTCCTTCAGGCTTCCGGGAATGATTATCATGTCAGGGTCGTATCTGGTGACTGGCTCGTTTATCAATCAGGTACACATTATTCGGCCCGAACTTCATGGTGGCAAACCCGCCAACAGAGGTCGAGGCAACAATCCCTCCCCTCACCGTCGCTCCTCCGGCCGTATGGCGCAATGGTCAAATGCGCCTGGTTGTGTTCTCGTTTGTGCGGTGGGCGACGAGAACAAGTGGGTTCGAATCCTGCTATGGCCCCCTTCTGACCCGGCTTGTACAAGTCGATAACCATCACACGACAGTGGAGAGACCCCTTATCGCAGAGCCCGATAGCCAAACAGCTTGTCTCCACAACACCCACTCCTGCGAGGTTTTTTCCCTTGTGGTTTCCCTTGCCAGCAGATAACAAATACCTACTTCACCCACCAATGCGACATATATCGAACGGCTACTAGAATGATGTGTACACCAGAGGACTGAGGTTCACTGGGTCGCTTAGTCACTGGACAGGAGGTTTTTCTGACGGAATCGTGTTTGGGTATGGACTAAAACCATCTGGTCACTCCAGGTTGGTACCGCTACAGCGAGGATAGGCTCGTGCGCGGATCTGAATGTATCTAGACTGACACCTCTACAACCTTCCGATGCAATGGCTCTGGGAGGCGTGGTTTGCCCTGTTGAGGGACTGCACCCACGATAAATACAATCAATCAAATCAATCGATAATGGTGTGATCTCAGATCTGGCTACGCGATGGAGAAGGAGGACTGGGCAAGCTGATCTTCTGCCCACTCAATCCGGATGCTCCGCAAGGAGGAGTATCCGCAGAGTCATATAAACAGGTCCTTGAGAACGGCCTCCTTCTCTTCTACGAGGCTGGAGATCCTTTTGTTCAAGATAACGCGAAAATTCACCTCTCATGAGGTGTTCCGGAGTGGCTAGAAGAGCACGGGATTCACTGTATCGACTGGCCTCCTCACAGCCCCGATCTCAACCCCATCGAGCACGTCTGGCGACTTCTGAAGAGGCAGATACGTGTTATCGAGCCTGAATTCTCCAAATTGAAGGACAATATCGCTCATTACCAGTACGCACACGAGTTAATTAAGAGGGCGTGGTCCGAGATCGATCCTGAGCAGGTACGTGTGCTGATCGAGTCTGTTCGCGATCGTATCGCCGCATGCAGGCGCGCTGGTGAATGGTACACGAATTACTGAACGGGCTATCGAATACAATTTATTTGAGAATTTTCTGACTAGAATTGAGTGTGTTGTGGTTCAATTGAGTTGTGAGGTGTAGCAGGTCAGGGGTCCAGAAATGGGGCTGTACGGAGACTTTTGTCCCCCGATTGTAGCAGAACTCTATCCAAGAGTGATGTTACGTCGGACCATGCCTTGCAGCATAATGCAAAAGCAGTATAACTTTCACTTCTTTACTGATGAATAGTGTTCCTGTACTTAGTTGTCACAGCCATATCATAGGACCAATTCGTATACGACCCAGCTCTTAGCGGATGAGGATATATCCCATGATGCCTGCCAAATGTATCAGAAGTATCAGATTTAGCGCGCATGGGAAATTAGAAGATTGGAAGAAGCAGTGTCATCAAGATTAAGAGACGACAGCCTAAGAAGGGTCGAATTTGCTAACCGCAACGGAAGATTAGCCGCAGAGGAGCTATGTGTAAGTAGTATTTGCAACAGAGCACTCGAGAATTCCGAAAAGCAGTTGCGCTCTTTTCGACTTATTTGTTTATATTAATTGCTACATATATTAATACGCTCAATATGGTCTTATGACCACCTAGGTACACGGTCTTCCTTAAATTCGAAAACTCCTTTTGCTCCAAAGTTCATTCTGAGATCCAAACCGTGGTTATCGAGCATAAGATTAGGGAGAGCTACGCGCAAAAAGCGGCCCGGGTGCGAAATGCCAGACATTTACTGTCGCCGGTGGCCGTTGGCCCCCTCGCCCGCCTGCTTGAGCACGTCAAAAGTCTCCCTAGTCTCCATACCATCCATGTATTTCCCACCACTAAACCACGGGCCCGTAGATAGCCACAGTACAACGATATCTTTCCCATTTCGGAGATGGTCAACTCCCCCAACACCGGCAATCTCGTCTCTCTGATTGATCTCAAAGATGGCAAGAAGGTCAAAGTAGCCACGAATATCCTTAATAACCACTCAAGCTACGGAGAACAGGCAAAAGCATTAAAGTCTGCGTATCATCTGGTGAAGGACAGTGACGGACTCTGGTGGAAGGCCATCGAGGGGCAGTGTCGACGTACATGGCTTCATAAAGCCTACCGGCAGTTCAACAACGACTCATTCGTGACGATGACTACATCCAAAAAGGTTTGCGACAACAACGACCCTTGGTATTAGGCCACAGTGGCCACGATGCCATATATACTCCCGGTTTTCATGATAGAGTGTCGAGAGGACAACAACCGGCGCCGGAGTCTTAGGTGGGGCCGGATAAGGAAGAATGTTTGCTAGGATGGCACATCATGGGTCTTTAGACCCCCCAGCAGACCAGATACCGAGGGAACGGAATCCGATACGCGCATAGTCAGCAGTATGGCTTCACAGTGATTTACAAAGGGAAATTGGAGGTGGAGAGTTCGGCTCAAATGATCGTGGAGCAAGGCTGGTCCGTACGACGCAGGGGTCTCTCTGAAGAGAGGCCGACGCTTTCTCCCACCGTGGCTGAATGGACGTGCGGAGTGGGAGAAAGCTGGTATTTCAAAGGAAAACTGCTGTGTTCTAAATATCAGAATGAGGGATAGTGGCCTAGATCATCCTGGGCGCCAAGAGTATTTAAGACTTCGCAATATCGAGTACTTTTTATGTTGAGAGTATGACCGATGCCCCGTGGCATAGCCGGCAAAGAACTATCTATTTATCATCTCCTCGGCTATCCCACAGGACGACGCTCCGACAGAAAACTCATACCCTTATAAACACTGGCCATCGATTCCTTGACCTGATACCATTTGTACTGGGAAAGATATAGGAAAAACCCTCTCCACGAAAGGAGCGCAAAAAAAAAAAAAAGGAAAAAAAAAGGGGGGGGGGGGGGAAAGAGAGACAGCTAATCTAAAGGCAGCTCATACCCTAAGCAACCGCCAACCAAGCAATCCAAGCTGCTGGCATATCATAGGATTCTCCAAGACATCCTCAATGCCCAGATCGTAGCCCTGGCGCTGCATGTGCGCCGACAGCACCGAAGCGCAGACGATATCGCCACCTAGATCAAAGAACGACGTTGCTTCATGAGCTCTCGGTACCGTCTCTACGCCACAACCCAGCGCCTCGGCCCATGAGGTTACCAGCGCATGCCTAACGTCCTCCGGACACAGCTGCGCGACCATGACCTCCTCCGCAGTCGGCTCCAGTAACAAGCCATCGTGCCCGCCAGGATTCATTGGCTGCGGCAGTGACGCCGCCAACGACCTGAGGTCCATGCTCGACGGCAATGGCATATCACCAGCGCGGTGGAACAGGCTGATGGTCTCACAAAGCTTAGCGACCAGCAGGCTCGCCATCCTCTCCAACACGGTGCCAACCGCAAAGCTCAGCTCGATTCTGAATGCTTTGCCGTCGTCGCTGGGCTTGCTCGTGACGTGCACATCCACATTGTCGACATCCCCAGCAACCGCGAAGCCCTGACGCGCGGCAACACTTTCCTCATGCATGCCACGAGTGTAACCATCATCAGACTCAGACTCTCCATCACCATCTTCAAAGTTATGATGATATACCACCGACCCAGCAAACATCCACCGCGGCCAGTCTGTGCACTCTCGCACCATCTCACGCGACCCCACCTGCTCGAATGGCAAGCTCGCGACATGCTGGCCCTGCACGGCAGTCATCAGGTCCGTGGCCCGCCAGCCGTCCGCGAACCGCACGCGCGTCGGCACGACGTTCACGCAGGGCCCGAATGCGTCCTGGCTACCGCGCAACCCGCGGCCTTGCGTCAGTGTCGAGAAGACAATGTCATCGCTCGCGGCGGCGCGCGCGAGCACGTACGCCCACGCCGACTTCAGCACCGTGAAGAAGGTGAAGTCGCACGGCGGCAGTGTCGCGCGCGGTATCTCGCGCACCACGCAGGGCCCCTCGCCGATGCGTAGGGTGTGGCTCGGCTGCGGGCGGAGGACGGTTGGAGAAGAGCCCTGGAGGAGGGTGCGCCAATACCGATGCGCCGCATCCTTGTCCATCTGGTCGAGGGCGAGCATGTGCTGGGTGAAGGAGAAATGCTGCAATGAAGATGCGTCGTTGTTGCTGCTGTCAGCGGCAGACATGTGAGGTGAGCGGGGAGGCGTGAGGTTCGCATCGGCGCCGGGGAGAAGATGTTGTGGTCCGGGTCGTGGATTCCGTTGCTCCTCATTCATAGGGTGATACAGCTTCTCGAACGCACTCCACATCTTAAGCAGGCTCATGCCGTCGTGCTGCGCGTGAGACGTGCGCGCCACGAGCCGCCACTTGTTGATGCGTGTCTGGTGGATGATGGCGAAGCCCGCGAGTGGTGAGCCGAAACGGAGACTGGCCCGCCCGCTGTCGTACTGCCGGACGTCCTCGACACAGTCCTCCAAATCCCGGTGGCTCGTGGCGAGGACGGGAATCTCGAGGGCTAGGTACCGCAGGACGACTTGCAGAAAGGCAGTGCCGTGCGCAATGAAGACAGTGCGAAGCATGTCGAAACGCTGGACGAGGTCGCGGCACGCGGCACGGATTTGGGAGAAGTCAGGGGTGCCATGACCGTCGAGCGTGTGGTAGAGGAGCATGCCGCGGTTCGCCGTGTAGGTCAGGGATACCAACCTGGCTTGCTGGTCTGTAACTGGGAGTATGTCGTGGACTGCGTCGCGTGCGATGCCGTATTCAGGAAGACGGCGCCAGAGAGCTGTGGTATTGACGCCTCTAGGAAGGAGGGAGAAAGGCTCGTATGGCAAAGCATCGATCATTTCGGGTTCCTCCACCAAGGACCTCGACAATTGACCGACTCTACCCCTTCCAAGTGGCTGCAGCACTTGGGCCATGATCTCTAGCATTGGGCTTTTAAGGATGTCCGCCACGGACAGGGACAAACCCGTGTCTCGAGCAGCACCCGCCAGCCGCATCGCCACGATACTGTCTCCTCCCATGCGGAAAAAGCTGTCGCTGGTCTCGATTTGCTTTTCGTCCACTTTCAGCACCGCTGCCCAAAGTTTGCGTAATTTCTTCTCCATCGACGTCGGAGGTCTGCTTGACACCAGAGAGCCTGATTTCGAGGCCACAATTGGCCGCAGCTGGGCTGGCGTGAGATGTTTGCCCATCTCTTGGAGATGCTTGCGGTCCGTCTTACCATTTGCCGTCAGAGGGATTTGCTCCAGGGGGATGTAAGCTGCCGGTATCATGTGGATCGGCAGCCGCAAGTTTAGCATCTCTTCGAGACCAAAGGAAGCGACGACAACTCCAGCGTCGGTAGAGGAACATGAATCAATCTCGAGGAAAGCCACTAGCATGGCGCTCCCGTTATGTTGGGGCGTCACAACCTCGGCCACGACCTGCTTTACGGTTTCCTCAAGGACGCATGCCCTCACGTGGTGTTCAACCTCACCCAGCTCCACACGCTGGCCGTTGATCTTAACCTGGGAGATGTCCTTCCTGCCGACGAAGACGAGAGAGCCGTTCGTGCCGCTATAATGTACAAGATCACCCGTCCTGTATAGTCGACCCCTGCGTCCGGAAAAGTCACCTGCACCGCGTAGTAGCCAAGGTGGGTTCGTGATGAATGCTGCTGCTGTCTTTTCGTCATTGCCTAGGTAGCCGTTGCTGACGAGGGGCCCTTCTAGCCAGATCTCGCCGGTACATCCGACGGGGACCAAGGATTGGCCGTCAACGTCTACGACCCATGTATTGAGGCCGATACCTTTGCCGATACTACCGGTGAATGTGGCGTTAGGATCGACATCTGTAATGGTTGCTGTCGGTGTGCACTCGCTCGGGCCCTGCGTTTTGCGTTAGTAATTTCAGTAAGAGGAGCAGTCTCATCCAGTTGCACTTACATAGGGGTTCTTCACACCGCCCATGACCAAATGAGCCCAGTTCCTTGCCTCATCTGGTATCTTCTCACCACCCAATACAAGCGTCTGCACCTTTTGCAGAGCTTCAGCCGGAAGCAATCGAGCGACCGATGGTGTGACATCAACATGCGTGGCACGCAGGCGTTGAATAGAGCCAACCAGGTCGTTCCGTCGGTCTTCATCCGAGGGTATGCATAAACAGGCCCCAATGGACAGCGTGTGGAGGAAGTTGGACCAACTAACGTCGAAAGAAAAAGAAGCGAAATCGTAGACCCTCGAGGAGACGGTGAAACCGTGAGCGGCCTGCTGATAAAGTACGGCGCTGGCGTAGTTCGCGTGGCTTATCATCACCCCCTTCGGAACCCCGGTACTGCCTGAGGTGAAGACGACGTACAGGTTCGTCGAGGACAAGACGACTGGCAATGGCGAGGACAACTCTGGAAGCGTCAAAATGCTCTCGTCCACGACCTGCAAGAATGCGCCCTCGACCAGTCGACCAGCCAGGTCTTCACAGGCAGACGAGCATAGTATGAGTGCATGTTGCTCTTGTGTCGGCTGCACCTGGCGCACGATCCCGCGCAACCTCTCCTCTGGCAGCGCCGTGTCCAATGTGACACAAGTCCCACCAGCTTTCATGACAGCCAGCATGGCAATAGGGGTCCATTTGGACTTCTCAAAGCAAAGAGGCACGATGCTCATATCCCCACTTCCCACGCCGAGCTGCACAAGGCGCTGCGCCAACCGCGTGGCGAGAACATCCATCTCTCCGTAGGTGAAGTCTCCATCGTGAGCGCAGATGGCCGGGCCGGTAGGGTTGCGACGCGCTGTGCCTGTGATCAACTCGTGCATACATCGCTCGGAAGCGGCGGGCACAGAGGCATTCCACTGCCAAATCTGTTGTGCGTCTTCATCGCTGATGAGACGCTGTTCCCGGTCGCCGTCGTCTTTGTTGGTGTCTGCTACAAACGAGGCGGTGTGCTTCTGGAAAAGAGAGAGCACCCTGTTGGCTTGCTCGTCGGTCAGATGAGTATCTGCGTACTCAAGCTCCACTTCAATGTGGTCTGCCGCGTAGTTGATGCCGAGGACGATGTCATACTGCGCGATTTGTCAGCTGTCTCTTCAACAGGTGTCAGAGAGTTAGGGTTAGGGTTACCTCAGTCGGATCCAGACCGTCAAGCCCCTCAAACGCCAACCCCACCTCGGTCGCGTCCGTGTCCTGCTGGTCAGCCTCTACCCTCTGGAAAGAAACAACACTGTTGAACAGTCCTCGTCCAGCCCCAAGTTCATGCTGAATCTCCGCAAGCGAGCAGTGCTGATAGTCCATGTCCTGCATGATCTGCTCGTGCACCCCACGCACGAACCCATCGCTCCCGCCCGTCTCGATTTCCGCGCGACATACCATCATATTCGCGTACGCGCCGATAGACACGTCGATTCCCGCGACTGGCGCGTCCCGCCCCGAACAGAGGTACCCGAACACGACCGATCCTGCCTCGCTGCTGGTGTAGGCAGACAGGGTACGCGCCCATGCGCTCTGGAGGAGGCTTGCGGGCGTGACTGATGATGGGGCGGAGCAGAACTGCTGGATACTTGCGAACAACTGCGTCCCTGATGAACACTGTCGATGTAGATGTCGTGGCTGCGGTCGCTCTCTCGCTGCTGCTACCGCCGCGTGCACCTCCGGCGAGGGCAGGAAAATGGCAAGGCTCGACGCCGGCCAGCTTCTTCTTCCAGTAGGTGAGCTTCTCGGCTTTTGTCTTGCCAGCCTGCAAAGCAGCGACGTAGCCGGAAGTTGCGGATAGAAGGTCGACTGTACTCAGTGTGCCAATATAGGCTTGAGTCCAATCCTCTATGAGGAGTGAAGACGATGCGCCGTCGGTGATGGCGTGGGACATTGCAGTCTCGCACACGACTTTGCCCTGTGCCGGGACGAGCGCAACTCGATGAGGCGGCCGAAGCTGTGTGTAGTCGACAGCTGGCAGCTGGCTCAGTGCCACCACTGCAGCAGCTCTGTCTTCGACGGGCGGAAGGAGCACCACTTCTCCTTGGTAAGGCTTGAGCACGACTTGGTTGAAAGCGGCAGAGGCGTCGAGTCCCCCGATGAAGATGCTTCGCAATGCAGGCTGATGAGCTACGACTTTTTGCCAAGCCTTAATGAGGTTATCGATGTCGATTGGCTTGTTGTCTCCCGAGCTGATCTCATGCAGCGCAACGGTTTTGTAGGAGCTAGCTTGTCGGGTCTGGCTCAGCAGTATGCCATCCACAGTGGGAGTACAAGGGTAGACCTCCTCGATCCCCGAACCGTTGAGAGACTCTATCTGTGTGACGAGACCGTCTTGGAAGTCGTCGAGGACGGGGTAGTCGAGTGTGAGAAACTCATAGTCGCAGAGTGTTCGCGACGGGCGGCTCCGCGTGCTGACCAAGTTTTTGCATATCGACTGCAGCGACGGAGCTATTTGAGAGATCCATTGATGGATGCGGCTCTGGTGGTTTATATGGCGGTTGAAGGAGAACTCGAAATGGGCAACGCCGCCCTCAAGAGATACTTCGATGTTGAAAAGGGACGACGCCGGGATGGCCGACCCCTGTTCCGAGACTCCAGGAAGAGCCACGTCTTGAAGAACGACTCCTCATTTTCCAGCTGCTGGAATTGCCCGTGGTAATTGAACGTGACTTCCATGGTTGAGTTATGCGCCTGGAACGCTATCTTGCCCTCAGGATTGAGATATCTCGAGGCGAAGTACGCCCATCCGTTTGCTGGTAACCGACGGCGCGCATCTTTTACCAGTCTGACTATGTTGGCAGCACTAACGGTATCGTCCCTTAACACGCTCATGGGACTCATGGTCGTGAACCATCCGACTGTCCGCGAGAGATCGACAGTATCTGCCACAGCAGACCATGGTTCGCGGCCGTGACCCTCGCTGAAGATGGTGAGGCCCTGACGTCGAAGAAACGTGCTCAAGAACGCAGCCCAGACGGCTGACAGGAGAAGGTCAACCGGCTCAGTATTATACGGGTCGTTGGCGGCGCTGAGGAGGTGCGACGTTGTCTCGCGATCAATCTCGACGAAACAAGTGCTATGTGCATCGTTGTTGTTGGGCGTTGAGGGGGTGAAGCCCCAGAAGTCCAAGTCGTTGCCCAGGTCTTTTGGTGGACAGAAGCTTCTCCGGCAGGAAGTCGGATGACGACGAGACGTGGGCTTGTTGTAATTTGGCCCATGCCTGGAACGGAAGGCTGTGCTGGAGTGTGTCGCCCGACAGGAGTGTCTCGAGCTCGTCTAGAAGAATGCGCCATGAAACAAGGTCGATGACCAGATGGTGGGCAACGAGGATCAAGTACTGCTCTCCTGTGGTAGTCATAGCGCACAGGTCCCCGGAGAACACCCGCCCATACTCGATGTTGATGGACAGATGGCTCTGCATGGCAAGTGACGCAGCCTCCTCTATGCTCGAAGTCTTATGAGATGCAAAATGGTATGTTCCCTCGTTCGGCTTTGACACTGACTGCCACCGGCTTCTTTCGATCTTCTTGAACCGTGTCCTCAGCATCGAGTGGTGGTTTTACCAGCCTCTCCACAGCGGCCGCAACTTCGTCCTCGGAGAACTTCCGGTTTGCCATCTTGACATAAAATCCCTGATTGTAGTGGTAGTCAGGTTGCGTTACTGTCTCAGCAGGCTCAAGCTGCTCCAAGAACCACTGCTGGATAGGCGCCAGCTCAAAGGGGGTTTCGACCGCCTCTTCCGGCATGTCGTTACTTACAGCCATCGTCCCCGCAGCAGGCGAGAGCGTCCGCGCGAAATCGGCAAGAGACTTGCTCCTCATCAGTGCAGCAACTGAGAAACCTTCAGCGCTCGCTGCGGCCCGCCATTGTGAGCTGAGACGCATGGCACTGATACTGTCGCCGCCGTTGGATATGAAGGACCGCCCAAGGTTGATATCTGCGACCGCCATGTTCAAGACGCGACTGGCGGCATCCATAAGCAGGCGCTCAACAGCAGTGCGTGGCCCGCGTCGAGCGACTTGGCCGCTGTCCACGTTGGCGATCATGTGGTACGTCTCCGCGTCCATGTTGGCAAGCCACACGTTTGAGCGCCTTACGGTCCAGCTTGCCGGTGGCCGTCATGGGGAAGTATCCAAGTGGCACCCATACTGAGGGAATCATGTAGCTTGGCAGTGTCTCGGAGAGAAGAGTCTTCAAAGCTTGGGTATGTCGCTCGGCGGACTTGGAGTGCTCGGTAACGGTGAGTATTTCAATGGTACTTGTTGCGTTGGTGGCTTCTCGCTTCACGTCCCGCAGGCTGAAGAACGCGACAACTCGTTTTGCACAGGGCCCGGAAGACGGTATCAGACAGACCGTCTGGTGGGTGTTGTCGTGGTGGCTCTCAATTTCGCCCAGCTCCACGCGCTGGCCATTTATCTTGACCTGGTTGTCAGCTCGTCCGACGAAGGTGAGGCTGCCGTCTTGGTTGTACCGGACAAGGTCTCCTGTTTTATAGAGGCGCCCTCGTCGCCCCGGATGCCGGTCACTACCCTGCAGCAGCCACGGCGGATCCTCGATAAAAGCACTGGCAGTTTTGGTTTCGTCGTCAAGGTATCCGGCACCAACTATTGGACCCTCCAGCCACAGCTCGCCGGTACTTCCAATGGGAACGAGAGAAGTCCCGACTGCTGCGTTGACCACCCATGTGTTGACACCGGCCCCCGTCCCGATACTGCCGGCAAACGAACCGTCAGGGAGGATAGCTTGAGTGAATGTGGCCGTGGGGGTTGCCTCGCTTGGGCCGTATGAGTTCTTCAAGCTGACATGTGGCGCCCAGCGTCTTGCCCATTCGGCCGTGAGACGCTCTCCACCCAGCGTCATGCTCTCGAGCTGGCGCAATGACTCGGCTGATAGAACGAGAGCAGCGGAGGGTGTCACGTCCATATGAGTGGGCCTGAACTTTGCAATGGCTCCGTTCAGATCGTCTTTCCGGTCTGCGTCAGATGGAACACACAGCGTGGCTCCGCACTCGAACGCTGTAAGCGTGTTCGCCCACGCGACGTCAAAAGCAGGCGATGCGAAATTAAACAGGCGTGTCGAAGATGTGATGCCCTGCGCTGCTCTCTGATGGGTCAGGGCGCTGCTGAAGTTTGCGTGCGTAATGACGACCCCCTTCGGGGTGCCTGTTGAGCCTGATGTGAATACGACATACAGTCGACTCGACGGACTGACCCGAGGCAAGACGGGCCACTCCCCGCCCACTTTTCGGTTCAGCGCGCGCAGTCCAGCTTCACTGATGGCCTGCACTGCGGCCCCGGCTGCCAACCGGTTCGCCAGCTCCTGCTTGCCCGCGGACGAGAGTACCACACTTGGGCTGACTTGTGGGATGATGGCGCGCAATCGTTCTTCGGGCTGTGCAGTGTCGACAAGGACGGAAGCGCCGCCTGCTTTCATAACGCCGAGCATGGCCACCGGCGTCCATTTGCTTTTCTCAAAGACCAAGGGCACGATGGTCTCGCTGTCAATGCCCAGTCGTCTCAGGTGGAAGGCCAAATGAGTGGAGAGAGAGTCCAATTCGTGATAGGTCCAGTCTCCGTCGCAGGCACAGACAGCTAGCTTGTCTGGAAGCTGGAATGCCATTGCTGAGATTCTGTCATGAACACAGACGTTGACGGTCTCAGGAACAGTCTCATTCCAGGACCAGATATCCCTAGCATCGTCACCGTTGAGTGTCTGGAGTGTCGCCACAGGCAAGGTTTCGTCGTCGGACGAGCATATCTGGTGTAGCATATGCTTGAATTGCTGGGCGAGGCGCTGGACCTGCTTCTCCTCCAGGACGGTCGAGTCATAACCGATTCGCAATCGCAGGGAGCCGTCTTTCCCGAGGTGGCACTCGACTGTCAGAGCATATGTGTCGTCTTGCTGCAGCATTCCCCCTTCGACGTCTGCGCTGTTCTCGTCCACATCGTGGATATCCCGCGCAATGATCTCGGAGCTCCACTCGGCCGCCTCCTCAGCGGGTTGAACGATGAGTAGCGTCTGGAAGCTGCACGCCCTCTCTGCATCGGGGCTGAGCCGACGTATCCTTTGTAGGCCCATTTGCTCGAACGGCGTCATCTCAATTGATTGCGTCTGGGCGCGAGACAAGTAGGCATGCAGCTCCTCCTCACGGTCGACTGAGATCCTGAACGGTACCGTTGCTATGGTCGGGCCGATCATGTCCTCGATCCCAGGAACCGCTGTCTGCCGGCCTGTCACCGTGACGCCGAAGACGACATCGTCATCGCCGTCGGAATAGTCGGCTATCACGAGCGCGAATGCTGCGCGGACAACAGTCGATAACGTCACATCGCTATTCGTTCCCATTCGTAGACCGTCGATGTGATAGGTCATCACCTTGTCTGGCTTTGGCTGGTGGGATGGAGATGGCAAAGAGGGGAATACCTCAGCATTGAGGCCCCGCAGTTGATGACTCCAGAACCCAAGAGCGTCTCCTTGGTCGATGCTGGTGGCGTGTTTGACGAAGGTCTTGTAGTCGGGTACGGGAGGGATGGGTATCTCGAGGTAGATCGCCTCTAGTCTCTCGAAGAGAAGTCCCAGCGACCAGCCGTCGTAGAGCGCGTGGTGGATCGTCAGATAAAAGACACATCGGTCTGTTTCCACGGAGAGTCTGGCAGAAAAAAGAGGCCACCCTAGCCCCACCACCTGCTGACCATCCTCCTCTGACCAAACGGACCCCTGGTTGATGACAGCCTGTACGAGGCCCTGGCCGGTGAGATCGAGGATTCGAGTCCGTAACATCGGCGTCGAGGCGACCAGCGCATCCCAAGCCTGGCGGAAACGGCCTGGATCAACCGAAGATCTCAGCTCCAAGGCGCATTTGGCGATGTATTCGCCTGGGCGTAACGAGGTCAAGGCCAACATGCCCTCCTGAAGCGGCGTGCAGGGGTACATGTCTTCGATCTGGTCTTCCTCAATGCCATCCAGAGCAGCAGTGGCCAACCTAACAGCCTCGGTGACATCCAACTCGCTCTTCAGCAGGGAGAATCTCTCGATACCCTTTACTGTCATAGCCCGATCGTCATCGACCTCGCTCTGTCCCACCCCAGATATCTCTACCGCCAGATCACTCAACTTTGGATGCCTCAAGACATCCGCAACGGAGAAAGTCAGACCCGATGCTCTAGCTGCACCAACAAGCCTCATAGCTGCAATGCTGTCACCCCCGATACGCAGGAAGCTATCATCTGCACTGATTCTTCCCGGGTCCTCCATCTTCAGCACCGCCGCCCATAGCGTCTGCAGGCGCTTCTCCATCTCTGTGCTTGGTGGGCGCTTATCGCTACCGTCCGACAGTCTCGTGGCGCCAAGTTGGTCCAGCGTCAAGGCTGCGCCGATGTTGCGGAGTGTCTTGCGGTCTGTCTTCCCGGTTGCTGTCACAGGAATGCTAGATAAACTGGGTGGACAAAAGTCTCCGCCCGACCCACCACAATCTCCTTCAGATCAAAACAACGCGTTAATCACCCTTCGATTTCACTACCCTTTCAACACCGCAATTAATAATGGATTTACGATCTTTTGGGGGCGAATTGAGCGGCAATCGCGTCGCTAACGGCGAATTCACTTCAGAAGCTCGCTCGGCAATTGTGGCGGCGCGAATCGACGGCAGAACGCGCAGGGATGTTGCAACCGCGTTTAAAACGAAGCGCCTGAAAACCATCTCCGACATTACCACCAACTTTGAGGCCACCTCCATACCGAAATCTGCCCCCAGGAGCGGTCGCCCACCCGTTTTGAACATTCTTGAACGCGTTCGTGTGATTGAGAAGGCGAGAGAGCTCCCCAGGGCAACGTGGCAGAAGATCCGAAACGAAGCCCGCATTTCGTGCTTTCCCAAGACTATCAAGAGGATATGTCACGCACACGGCCTCTAGAAGTGGCGCGCAGCGAAGCGAATCAAGCTCACGGATGACGACGCTTAGAAGAGGCTCGCTTTCGCTAATTATTACAGCATACCAGAGCGCCTGGAGGAGTTGTTGTGAGCCATGTTCTCAGACGAATATACGGTCTAAAATTCATCTGATAATCCAAGCGATTGGGCCATCTGATTCTCTTCAGAGCGGTACCGTTATGATCTCGTGGACGAGACGGATCACGGCAAAACTCGTATTTTGATAATGGTGTGGTTTATGATCTGGCTACGTGGCGGAGAAGGAGGACTAGGCAAGTTGGTCTTCTGCTCACTTGATCTGGATGCTCCGCGCGGAGGAGTATCCGCAGAGTCATATAATTGGGTTCTTGAGGAAGGCTTGTTTCCGTTCTACGAGGCTGGAGATCCTTTTGTTCAAGATAACGCGAAAATTCACCTCACTGGCGGTGTTCCGGAGTGGATGGAGGAGCACGGCATCCACTGTATCGACTGGCCTCCTCACAGCCCCGATATGAACCCTATCGAGCACGTTTGGCGACTTCTGAAGAAGAAGATACATGTTATCGAGCCTGAATTTGCCGAATTGAAGGACAATATCCCTTGTTATCGCTACGCATACGAGTTAATTGAGCAGGCGTGGTCGGAGATCGATCCGGAGCAGGTTCGGGTCTTGATGGAGTCACTGGAGGACCGAATGGCTGCAGTGAGGCGCGCCGGTGGTTGGTATACACACTATTGACTTAGCTATTAAATACAATTTATTTGAGAATTTTATCACCATAATTAGGTGCGTTGTGGTTCAATTGAATTGGAGGGTGTAGTAGATGGAAGGTGTAAAAATGGGGATCGGGCGGAGACTTTTGTCCACGGATTGTACCCAGCGTTTCACACAATCCAATCAATCCAATCTGACCCCTCCTAACTGGATTAGATTGTGATGACTAAGCAGTTCAATCCAATTCGGCCATCTCTAACTTGATTAGATCGTTAGACTGCCGGAGCTCTAGCGCCAACCTCCGGACCAATCAGGCACTAGCATCTTATCCTTTGCTACCCGTCAGCTACCCTACCAGTCACCCCACTAGCCATATACGCCACTATATATACCACCGAGTCAAGTAGCTCTTGGCTGACACAACCTAAGCATCTAAACTGACCTGTGAACCACTTAGACTCTCCCACTGACTCCGCTCACCCGCTGGCGCGCTGACAGCAGGAATATGGATGCATCGGCAGCACTTGACATGTGTCTCTAGCAGGGTTATCAGCCGCAGGTAGAATTGCCTGAATACGCTCATCGCTCGATGACGTGCAACCCTGGGTTATCTGTACTGCTTTAGTACATGTTGAGAGGCACAAACCTCAGTTGACACAAAGTATATCTAACTTCAGCGCGCTTTGGGCCCAAACAATTGCCGCGAACATTCAATACATATTTCAGTCGCATGCAGGTGTTTATCCAACCCGGCGTAGACGAAGCCAAGCGCGTCATTCCCCACCAAGAGCAAAGGCGATAATGACAGTTGCCTTTTAATACGTCGAATGTAGTGATACAAAGGACGGGACGTGAACTAGCTGCCACGGGCAGGACGAGCGTCTCGCCACGATGGTTGCAGGATAGTTAGATGGCCAATCTCGAAATAGGACGACAAGGGTAGTTGTGACTGTTATAGATGGCGGTTGCCTCATGTTCAATTACCAGGTATGCCTTATGCCATCACTCCTTAACACTGCCACAGATGTTTCACAGCGTCGTGGTTGCTTGGACCATTGATGCTGTGGGAGGAACGTGTTTCTGTTCTATTCTGTGAATAGTAGCTCTATAACAATAGATGTGGCACTGCCTCCAAGGGTAGGTGCATAGTCCACATTGGACCCTAGTACTCGGTGCACTGCGGAAAGCCGGTGTAGTTCTCCCAACAGTTCGGGCCCGAAGGATTTGACGATCGCGCAACTTACTAAATAGTGATAGTTGTTCTATGACATGTATCGCAATCCCAAGGGCCCACTGCGCAGGCAACCAATGCCGGAATTGGCGACAAGTACCAAGGCTGCCTAGTCCTGAGATAGCACCTTTGTAGTGGCAAATGCTGATATAGATAGCACAAGAGATATTTCAAGAAGTTAGGATTTCTGAGGGAACGGCAATGACGATGGTAGCCTGGGAGATCAGCAGCGGTGATCACATCCAGAGTTTGTGGCAGGAGAAGGAGGCAAAAGGTAGGCCAAAACCAAGCATACTGACTACCGTACCAAGTGAGCTACATAAGACGAGTAAGATTTGAAGCTTTGTCTGGGCTTCTTGGGCTTCTTAGTTTCTTGGATCCAACACTCATAGTCGCCTTCACACAACGAAACAGTCATAGTCGTCTGCACACTGGCACAACACGTTCATCATGCATTGTAGGCTGAACCAGCCCGTGCCCTTTATACTGGGAACTCTTCTGCTTTTGGGTGTACTTCTCACTGGTTCTTCATCCGCATACCCAACCAAGGAACAACGCGAGGCCGAGTACGATGCAATCGAAGCCAAATACCTACTCGGTCGGTCGAACGGCTCGCCGACATCCCCGAAAAACCCAACTCTCCATCTAGTACGCGCAGGTACCGACGGTTCTCCATCCGGAGACTTTGTCATTGAAATTCCACATGGCATGCAACCACCGATGGACCCGCCGGGGAACGAGATAACAGCTCCCGTTGGCGGTCAATGTCGCGAACCGACATCTTCTGATAAGACGATGATACGCCGCATTGCCACTTCCCTTAAAGAAATGGTCAACAAGGACAAGCTACTAGACTTCGGCAAAGGTCTTCAGAAGGTCCAGTTGGGAGCAAGTGGCACCTCCTACCTCGGAGAGACGATTGTGGGACTCGTATTACTCAAAGACGCATCGGCCGGGCTTGACGGGACCATGGCCGTACCCGGCGCTTTAACCGCTCTCCTCTCGGGCGTGTTGCGTGTGGCGCAAAAGACCCAGAAGAATCCCGGCTGGACCGAAAGGCCGTTCGACCTGCCGGAGTTTGCAACCCAGTTGACTATCTGGGTTGTCTGCCTCACATTGTTTTTCCAGGGCATCCTCACTAGTAGCTTCAACGGGGTGGAGATTCCCAAGGATTACAAGGGCGCCTTGGAAGTTCACAGTGGATTCCTAGCTTTGAACTTGGCTCAGGCAGCCTATGAGATAGGTGAGTACTTCCTCGAGTCGTTTACACGGACTTCCCCCGTTTCCCTGTGGGGTTTCATATGCAGTCATCATGCCCGCCGCCCAATGAAGAACATAAATACGTTTAAAAAGTGTTGACTAACTCCTATTTACATAGCAACCTCAAGGGAAAAGTCTACGGAGACCGGTTTCAAACAGAAGTTGGTGATGATGGGGGTAGAGAATGAACTAGACAAGGGGACTACGAAGATGCTAAAAGGCACATTCAATCTCGGCGTCGGCATGCTGCGGCAGGTGATGAGAATGCCACAGACCGATATCAAGCTCCAGAAATTCACGCCCATGACGGGCCTGCTCGGGCGATTGGCAGTCGAGGCCGAACTCACGACTCAGTGTATTCAGGACACAAATGACTTCTACGTCCAAAAGTCCATACAGACAGGCAAGACGCCAGATGAATGTCGTGCGGACATGAAAAAGAAGTTAGGGATCAAGGACGTCGCGACCGCTCCGGCACTGACAGAGGCCGATGTCATGAGCCTCGAAACTATGTCGAAGTTGACCGACAGCCCAAAAGAAGGCATGGGGGCGATGATGCAATCGATCGCTTTCGACGCGGTAGGAAACGGTGGTCCCATCGTCATCTTTGCTATCTTGTTCGCCATCACGAGGGGGGACAGTTCCCAATTAGCCTCTGCGGCGGGAGACTCCATCCTCACCTACACGAGTGTCCTCGAGTTCTTGTTCTGGGGCAAAGCATCCAGTAAGCTGTATGATCTCGTTCAGATGTATGTTTCCCGAAACCCCAAGGGTGTCGAACTGAGCAAGGAGATCGGTGAGTCCATGAACCACGGCGACTTGAAAAAATTCCGAAAAGATGGCGTCAAGATCCACGTCATGGTCCTTTGGGCGACCGCTCCTTGGGGCAGATTTCGGTGTGGAGGTGACCTCAAAGTTGGTGGTGATGTCAGAAATGGTTTTCAGACGCTTCGTTTTGAACGCGGTTGTAACATCCCTGCGCATTCTGCCGTCAATTCGCGCCGCCACAATTGCCGAGCGAGCTTCTGAAGTGAATTCGCCGTTAGCGACGCGATCGCCGCTCAATTCTACCCCAAAAGATCGTAAATCTATTATCAATTACGGTGTTGAGAGAGTGGTGAAGTCGAAGGGTGATTGACGCGTTGTTTTGATCTGAAGGAGATTGTGGTGGGTCGGGCGGAGACTTTTGTCTACCCAGTTTAGCGGACTTCCCCTGGAAGTATTCGTAGCTGGGGGGGCGCAGACCGTCAAAGCCCATCCCATTGCGCTCTCGGTGGTAGATAGAGGAACGTCGAACAGCAGCTGGGACGTAGATATGCTTATAAGCATCCGGGTCCATGATTGTCACTTCCCAGGGGTTGATGCGTATGATGGGACCTGAATTCTACGTCAGCCAGCTGTTCCTGTGTTGTACTGACTCCGCAAATGCTTACCGTATCTCTCATGCATTTTGGCAATCTCATAGATGTACGTGCCTCTGGTGACCACATTGTTCCGGTGTTACCTCAAAGTCGGAAAGGCTGGAATCGTAAGGGAGTTCCCCAACGCACTCGGTGATGGAGTTGATGATTTCGATACCTCAGGTAGGAAAAATGGGAAAGCAATCATGATTGAGCGTGTCGTGGTGCTATTGTGTTGAACAGTGGAAGGAGTTGAGAAACGCGAACAATGGGATTGGCTAAAGGGCCTGTCCAGACTAGATTGTTTGCTACTGTTCACCTGAGATCAAGATATCCAGCCTATGTGGCCATACATCCACAGGTCTGTCTAATAAGCAAACACGATGCTCGGATGACAATACCATCCGAGGGGTTACACCGTAAGTAAGGGAGGATACACCGCAAGTAAGGAAACAACCACTTTGAACAATGAGTACAATCACCAATACCGGCCTTTCTTGAATTGTGCAATGTGCCCTGGTACCGTAGACCCTAAGGTATTGTTGTAACATGACACCCGTGATAGCAATCGGCTACCGCCATTCATTCGTCCACTCACTGCCCATAGTAGGACATGCAAACATGGATGCCATGATGAGAGATGCTTAAAGCGAGAATAGTAGTCATTGAAAAGGACCCAAACCTTATGCCACATTAAACTGACATATATCTTTTCCTTATATCCTTGGGGATTCACTGACAAGAATCACTACGCTCGCAAGGTTGTCGTACACGCAGGACACCTAGAGGCTTTCCTTACCTCCATCACTCGACTCCTCCCTGCATCCAATAAGCAATCCGTCTGGTCATCACCATGGACTTCCGTTTCTCCACTTTCGCGGATCCGTCCACTTACGACAATGAAGGGCTCTGCAACACCCCCATGCGTCTGCATCAGAGCGGCGAACTCGAGGAGCGAGGCATCATCCAAGCCCAGCGAGACTGGCGAGAGCATGTCGGCCCACTGGACTTCTACAGATGTACCATGGGAAGATGGAACTACATGACCTGCACGCTGCCCGAGTGTCTGCCTGACAGGCTGGAGATCATCTCATACGCCAATGAGATCTCCTTCATCTATGACGACTTGGTGGATACTGCAGGCAAACAAGAGGTCAGTGCGTCCCATGATACTAACGGGTGTCGACTCTGACACCGCCGCAGGCCGACGAAGAGAACGACAAGATGATTGAAGCTTTTCAAGAAGCTCAGCACCGGCACCATCGCGTACAACTCCGCTGGCAAGCGGATGTTGCAAGCCAAGATTCTAAAGGGCATGCTGAAAATCGATCGACCAAGAGCCTTGGTTGCCATGGAGGCCTGGGCAGAGTACTTGGAATCGTCTGGCCGCAACCACCATAAGCAATTCGACGGCCTCGATGACTTTTTAGAGCACAGAGCGAGGGATGCGGGAGAGAAGTAAGTTGGCCCGAATTGGGCATTGTTGTTAAAGAAGAGTTTGTTACTAATATGATTACAGGTTCGTTTTCGCAAGTACGTGTTCCCAACGCAAGCACTCTTCAAATCTCACCCCCCTTCACCCCCTCTTCGGTTTCTTGTTCATACGCGAAGCCCGACCACTGACAACTGTAAATAGTTGTCACATTCGGCATGGGACTGATCATTGGCAAAGAAGAGCACGAAACCCTTCACGAAATGTGCCGCCCTTGCTTTGCCCACCTCACCTTAGTCAATGACCTGTACTCGTACGAAGAGGAGTCTGAGGCGGCAGTGGCCAATGGAGACCCCGGATGGCTCAATGCGCTGAATGTTATCATGCGAGAGCATTCAGTCAATGTTGACGAAGCGAAGCTGATCTGCTCGCGGCAGATCAAGAAAGCTGCGTCGGAGTTCTCCGCCGTCATAACAGGTGCCAAGGATCGCGACGACCTGTCCCTGGGTTTGCGGCGCTATCTCGAAGCCCTGCAGTACGGTATGACTGGCAACCTGGCGTGGTCCATGACCTGCCCGCGGTACCACAACAACATCCCCTACACTGGGCGGCAACTCGCTTTGATGAGGGATGGAGCGATAAACTTGGGTGATAAGGACAGAGCCGCTGCACCGTCTGTGTCCCACAAAAGAAAAAGGGGCGAGGACGAGCCTAAGATGGACATGGCCTCAAAGGAGAGACCCTGTCTTCCAACACCATCTGACTCCGCGGATGGCAAAACTGGCAACATGGCAATCGGCCTGGACGAGGTCCTTGCGTCCCAAGTCTTGCCGGCCCTCGATGCTTCGGTAAGTAAACCCCCTTAGGAGGCAGAAAGCCATATCGTGTGACTTCTAACCCCTTTTCGCGCAGATCGTCGACAACCCAATGACGTACATCGGGTCTCTGCCGTCGAGAAATGTCAAGGGTAAGATTATCGACGCACTGAACGTCTGGTTCAAGGTCCCCCGAAAGACTGTGGCAACTCTGAAGCGACTGGTGGGACTGCTGCACGCATATTCACTCATGCTCGATGACATGGAGGACTCCTCGAGCCTGCGGAGGGGGATGCCTTCGGTGCACCCCATCTACGGGCATGCGCAGACCATCAACTCTGCAGGTTACGGCACTTACCAGGCTCTCGCAGAGGTTGCGACTCTCGGCAACCCCTGCTGTGTTCAGATCTTCATAGGTGAGCCTTCTAGTCTATACCAATACTTCAATATCGAAGCCCGAAACTAATCAGGCTCAGAGGAGATGAGAAACGCCTACATTGGCCAGAGCTGGAACTTGCATTGGACCGCCAATATCGTATGTTCCACGTTTCCGGAGTACCTCCGCATGATCGACGACAGTAAGTCCACAGTTGCGCCTTACCTTGTTACTTACTCACCGCCACGGCAGAGACAGGCGGCCTGTTCAGGCTCCTGGCCAGAATGATGGCTGCCGAGTCGAAGTGCCCAAGCAAACCAGACGTGACCAGGCTTGTCATCCTCGTCGGCCGGTACTTCCAGATCAGAGACGACTATCAGAATCTGAATGGTGCCGATGTATGTAGCGGTCTTTGTTGGTTCATGGACAGTCGCTAACACCGCCCAGTACACGAAGCAGAAGGGCTTCTGCGAGGACCTGGACGAGGGTAAATACTCCTTCATGCTGATCCACACTCTCCAACACGCCAAGCTCGACCGAGGTGTGTTCCTGCGCAACCTCCTTACGCAGCGCCGGATATCGGGAGGCATGTCATTTGAGCAGAAGGGTGTTGTGCTGGAAGACATGAAGCAGGCGGGCAGTTTCGAGTTCACACTCGTTGCGCTGAGAAAACTCTTTGTTGAGATTGAGGACGAGATTGCCAGTGTTGTACGCGTAACGGGGACTCTGAACATCGAGCTTGACATTTTGTGAGATTTCAAAGTGTTCTATTTAAGGAGAGGAATTCCAGCTACTCTGGAGCGGCCAGAGTGGCCCTATATATCCAAGATACTAAAGGAAAGGATACGTGGCCTTATATTGGCCACGTATGTGACAGAGTCACAGATGGAGATGTTGATCCTGAAGGATGACTATGGATGGGCTAACGTAGCCCAGAATCCAACACATTTTGGTCGAGCTTCTCAGGATTTAGCTCCGAGTCTGACTGCTGTCGTGGTGTACTGGTGCTCAAGTGAAGTAGCTTATGTAGGTCAATAATGTCATACTGTACCGGCCACGAAACTTGTCTCATCTGGAAATCGCTGGTGCTACTTGGAACATACATCATTTGAGCAGTGGCACGTTGCGAAAAGAAAGCAGTAAGGGAAACCCCCAGGATTGCCCGCTGGTGGTTCGGATTGGTATACCAGAGGATTTGACAGGAAGAGATGATGCATTGGTCGTCTTTCTGTTCGATACACGTATCACGATAAATACTTAAAATCAGTGACAGGAAAGGATGACCCTCACATTACCCACACTATCTCAAATTAAGGCGTCCGGACTTGTAAACTCACACATCCTCTAGTTTGACACCTGAATGTCCACATACCCCCCTCTTTCCAAGAGTGCCATCATTAAGCCCTAAAAACATATTGAAACCCCATGATGCACCTGTCTAGACAACAATAGTCCAAGAAAGAGTACCGCCGGAGCATCCAACAATGCCCGCAGCACCAGTCAAGCCATTCGTAGTCCAGTCATCGATAGTGACAGTTAAGATATCGCTGATGTCCTGGCCGCGGAAGCTGATCGGCACATCGCTGTAGATCCACACGGAGCAGGCGCCGTTCTGGAAGAGGTGCACAACGCCGCCGGGGTGGTCGAGGTTGACGTCGACGATGGTGGGTAGCAGCCCTTGGCAGTCCGCAAGCGGGGCCGGGTTGGGGACGGCATTGAAGGACGAGGCACCGCAGAGGTCGTCCCGTACGGCCAGGGGCGAGGCGGGGCTGCTGTTCGGGAGGGCTATGGCGGATGGGGTCAGGCCGGGGAGTAGAATGGCGATGTTCTTGGTGGAGAACATGGTGTGTTGAGTTGATGTGTTGGTGGATGTCTGATTAGAAATGGATGATATTTGGAGCTAGTAGGCTGGAAGACCAGAGGTTGACGAAAGGACTGATGGGGATGCTGGTGTCGAAGGTGAGATCAAGGCCCTGGAGTGAAGGACGACGGGGCAACATTTATAGAGAGAGAACGCAGTGAAGTGGTGTTTCCCAGTGCACCGTCATTCGCGGCCCAGCCACGCAGCCAGTTCCGGTGTTACGTAGCATACACCGCCTTACGGAGATGCAGTCGGCTTCGCAGGATCTCGGTAGATGCAGGGTTATTCAGACTTGGCCTTCACATCAGTCTCTTGCCGTCTTGTACGACAATCCCAGCAGCTTGGTGCAGCGTTGGGGAACTCTTGAGGTGAAACTGACTGAGAAGAATCCGAGGTGAGCGGTGGCTCAGTTCTGACTGCCAAGGCAACGCGCTTACGTTCAAAGCGACCGGTGCTCCCCCAGCCCCGACGCGGCCTTCCAAAAGCGAGATTCAGCCTCGTATGCTTCCCGTGTTTGTGCTGTCGGGTGCCGGCCCACGTGTTGTTGACAGCCGTCGAACCGGTCTGTACAAACCTGAAGAGACGGAAACGGCGGGCCGCAGAGTATGCCGCGCAGCTATTGCATCGACCACTTAACGAAGTTCCTTGCTTTTCCCAAAGCCGGCTGTGCATGAGGCAGGAGGGCGATATTCTGCGACTTAGGTACAGTTTTGCAAAGCTCGATACGAAGGTCTCACCACGAAAAGCTGGTACTTGTAATCGCTTCGCCACTGCTGGCTTGAACAGCATAGAGGGGTTTGGAATGCAATACAGCTCTTGTTACTCGCCGTCTGTGCAATGTACATCTCATGACGAGACGGAGTTCATGATTCTCTACTCCGTCATTCTCTACTATGATCAATCATTGCAACTGGCAGCGGTTCCCCCAGAGAAGCATGTAATGTTCTGGGGGTTGTGGCTTGAGTGATGTCATATGGAGAGAGCCATAACGAAAGCCGGCGCGGAAGAGCAGTCTGACTGCCAGTCATCAATATTCTGGCTTCGGGAGTCAGAACCTTCTACTGAACGGCCACATAGAAGACCAGAAAGGTTGGTTGGCCTTCCAAGGTGGCGATAAAAGCGGTCCCTTGAGTATCACGCATGAAACTCCAGAAACCCTACAGTTCCATGGTAGTAACCTTATCCTCCATCCATCACCAAACAGCCAATGTCCGGGCAGGATGTCCGACATTTCATCACGTCGTCTCTCGACAGGGAGAAACACAACCCATCCAGCGTCTCCATATCACTCTCAGTTGCATTCCTTCATTGCCGGGTGACAAGAATACCGAACAGCTCTTCGCAGATCAACTTCCCTCAGTCCTGGACTCAACCATGCTTCTCCATCACAATCAGAGAGGTGCTCTCCATCGGCAAGTCGAACCAGTTGGCCGAGGACCGTGTTGAAAGACGTCCCCATCAGAGCGTAGCTTTTGGTGACGGGGGCGAGATCATTTTCTGTGCGAGCGTCTTCCGCTACCAGCGGCGGAAGCATCAAGCTGCACATGTGCAGCTTGAACGTCGTCATCGTTGGAGCCTGCTCAGTATCCGGTACTGGGGATCGGGAAATGTGGACCACGGTTCGTTGCGATGTCAGCGGTGCAACGGGAACTTGGGACCTGTTCCTAAGCTCTGTGAGTAACGGATCAGGCTTTCTGTTCAACCTCGACCGATGGCATCGGCAAATGCACTGCGACCCGAACAGCTTTCCCAGAGACTAGAAATATCCAGAAGAAGAATAAATGCTCATGATATTCAAGAGTCTGTGGATCCAGCTGGTTCCAGTTATCAGGTATCATGTCGGTTGCCTGGGATTGTTGCCCAACATTGAAGGGACCATGTACCTTTGTGGTGTATTCTAGTACTTAAGTGACCAACTGGATGGGGCTACGCTCCCATCCTTCTAGACAGCAAGCAAAACATCCAGAATACTAGTCATCGTAACATGGTATTCTGGGCCCCTGCCAGAAGGCACAAGTCGCCGCTCGTTGCTATCAGCCCACCCAGGGCTGCTACGGATAACTAGGTACCTTGGTACTTGACTATCCCATTATTTTCGTACCTCAATCTTTTTATCTCGGCCCATTCACTTGGCTTCTCATATGCCACTGGCTTCTTGAAGGCTACTGCGGGTTTTCCTAGAGGAGGAATCAAATATGAACCGACAACTTATCCTGAGGAGGATTCAATACGTGACGGTCTCGAGTCACTGTTGACAACTCAAGTGGCCGAATGCGTGAAATGCAACATAGGATAGAACGCTTATTGACCAGAAACAGAGGGCAAATCGACGAAAGCCCCTGTGGGACAGTGCAAGTCATGCGAACCAGGGAAAATGGCCTGAATGGACAGATTAGAAGCTGCATCGGCCAATGTGAACATTTCGTTATCTGCCATTGTCAAGTGAGTAGGACGCGATGAATGGGTGAAGAAACTGACTACGTGCCCACCCACATGCGCCTCTAGCGGGTCCATTCTGAGAAAAGGGGTGAAATTTAGTCATTGAACCACCTGGCTACAATGCAGCTGCAGCCTGCAGGTCTCAGCCAGAACAATGGCAGCGCTGGAGAATAGTGGCAAAACAATGGAGAACCTGAGTGATCCCACAATCAGCCACGGCCTAACACTAACCATTTAGTAGACCTCAGAGAGCCTTCAATTCCTGGCTTTCCATCCCATGCACCCACACCATCTGCATCTGATTTTTTGGACGAACACAACCGACAGCACACATACTCTCCATCACTTGCCGATACAACCACGATGCTCTCTTCCGCTCCCCTCAGGGCCATCTTGGCCACGGCCATCATGTCCCCTCTCGTCCTTGCTGACTTCTGGATCTACCACTCAACCATGACCTACTCCACCGGCGGCAATGTGGACGGCTACTCGTTTTTCGACTCGCCCCCGGACTGCGACTTTGTCAACAACTACATGCTCATCTCGGTTTCCAAGGACGACGTCAGCGGCCACAAGTCGGGAGCCCGCTGCGACGGCTGCGACTATCAACAGCCAACCTTGATCGAGTGGAATAACAAGATGGGACACTTCAGTGAGTACTCAGATTTCTCAGCATCCGCGGCTTGCGGTTTACTAGTCTACCGATACATGTGCTAATTATCGTCCCTTCCAGCTGCCTACTCTGACCGAGACTGGGCTATGGTCGACACCGACGGTAACGTGAAGGGCCACTGCCAGCTGGCGACCGAGATGGGTTACACCTGCGACATGAACAGAAATGCCGGAAGGAGTTAAGGAGACTCCATGATCTTCTGCGCGTCGGAGTACAACGCCGACGCGGTCAATCATTGATCGCTTCACCATGCGGTCTCGTGCTTCACCACCCGGTCTCTTGACGGTCTGAGCCGGTCTCAGGTTCTTGGGCGCGACATGGGAGATGGATAACTGAGGCAAGACGGGAAGTGGGCAAGAGGAGGACGATACGTAATCAGTACTGCATTCTACAGCAGTGCGAATGCCAGACAGATCGTTGACCACACAAACCTTTTTACACAAAACTTCCTTTTCGCTTCCTTGCTTGCATGTGCTTTCACGATTTAAGACTCGTATGTGTCCCGTCCTTTCATACTCGTTGTCTTCTTGCCTCTGACTTGACATGCATGGACTTTCGCCGGTCAGCCAGAGATCGATACTAATACACTGCCTATGCCAGTCCACTTGAGGCTCTCAAAGTGGTACAGTTCGCGATATATGAATAATTATTGGTCTTGCGGTCGGATGTTTGCCCCTAGCCCCTCCCTTCTATTGCCCCGTTTTGACTCTCGCCTCTGCCGAGCCTCAAGCCTGTACAAAAGACTTTACAACAGCACAATCATATTTGAGCACTGGTTATTAAGACAATAAAGACACGAGTGACTCGTGAGTCAATGACTAAAATGTCTCCACGTCGATAAGTGTTGACCACGATTTGCCTTGCTGGTGTTAAATGGCACGCAAGCCACAGTGGCGCCAGGGAGGTGGCAGTGCACTGTAACAGGGGCCATGAGGGCATTTAGGGCACCAAACCCACATCACAGACCTTCAGAGCAACACAATCAGCACTGAATGCACAAATACCACCATATGTACAGTGGGTCAGCACAAATACCGAACACCCCACTCTTATAAAAGAACCATCCTCATTATAACCACATTCAAATCTTTACGCGAGAGAGACAAAATACGGGAGATAAAGATAAATATATAAAGTTTTAAAGGCGTAATGAAGTCAAAATGTAAAACATATCTTAACTTGAATAATTATAGAAATTTCAAAAAAATAATGCAAAAGTAGCTATTTTATACTTATTCTTACATCTTTTAATATAATCTTCGTATTTGAACGTCCTTTAAATTATTTTTTAAAATATTCTATTTTTTAAAACATAGCTTAGTTAGTTTTTCTATACTTATTTTTATGGAACTTGTAAGCAGTCGGGTGGCTCACAGGTGTGCTGTAGCACGCTTCTAGGGGTGACAAGGCTGACAAGGCTGACAGCAGCACTGAAAGGAAGGAACAGCCTAGAAGCGGGCTTTGAGCTTTAGTGTATCTGGGACAAGGGATCTTTACCCTCCGGATCAAAGGCTGGGCTTTGCTTTGAAGTTGGTATGTGTATTTAGTACCTGAACAGGTCCCAAGACCCAAGGGTAGATCCGTACCCAGAATGTAAGCAACATGATGACCTGAACCACTGAACCGATCTTTTCCATAGAACTGTTATAAAAGGATAAATTTATATAAATATATACCTAGTTTTTCAGCAGTGCTATTAATTAAAGAAAAACCCTTTATTAATAAAACAAACCCGTAGTTCAATATTTATATAACGTAGGTCACAAGCGAGCGGCAATTACAAGCGAACGGCAACTTTTCACCAATCTTCTAACCAACATGTCAAATAACTCGACCACAACGCATTTAATTCAATCTAATCAATCGGATTCTTCTTCTTCAGACGTTTCTATCTCTATTGTACAAGTTCGCGCATTATGGCCAGTGTTGCCGCAAACGCCACAACGTCGCTCACGCGCTGCCGCCCTCCTTGGATGACGACTACCTTCACCCATTTCCTGTCTTGCCAGCTCACCACCATCCTTTACAGCCTGGAGACCTACTGCATCTTCAACGGAAAGTATTCCTCCTTTCACTAGACGTTTGTTTTTTGTCCTCCGGCGTTTACTTAGTAGGTGATTGGCCTCCTCTAGCTCGCGGACCCGGGAATCAACCAAAGCGACCTTGTGCATAAGACCGTATGTAGCCTTTGAAAACGAGCTCAACGCATCAATTATTGATGTAAGTGAGCTTCCCTGGTGGTTTCTGACTCGATTTCGGATATGAACCGATTGGTTGACCGCTTCGTTGATGGTGGTAGGCGTCTTTGAAGTCCAAGTAGTGGGTGGCAGATTGGGGTCTGGCAACGGTGTTCGTACGACAGCGACAGCATCCAGTTTCGAAATGACACTTTCTGGGTCAAAAGGAACAAGCCCAGTGGCACTGAAACCTGCTCGAATATTCCCTGGCGTCATAGCAGCGTTGTGTGCTTCACAAAACGCTGCAAGGAAGTCCTCTTTCGAAATATGGGTTATATGACGCCGCATGAGATCCTCAATCATGCGACCGTACGCTCGTTTGAGCGGGCTAAAACAACTGACATCTAAAGGCTGGAGCCTGTGTGACGAGTGGGCAGGCATACAAAGGGTAATAATGCTGTTGTTCTGGCAATATCTCTCAAAGATCTGGGAATGGTGGCTTTCGTGACCATCTAGGATGAGGAGGCGTTTACCGGCAGTCATACGCGGTCTGGTATACTTGTCGAAATGCCGAATCCATTCCAACCCAATCTCGTTCGTAGTCCACCCATTATCGGACACGGCCACCTTCCAATCGCGTGGTAATGTCGTGTCGCGATACCATGACGCGAGGTGGGTTTTGCCCTGTAGAATGATGAACGGCGGGACCACCCAACCATCAGCATTAACAGCAGAAATTGCTGTAGACCATTCCCTGTTGCCTTGCTAGGCTTGTCTAGGCCTACCACGTCTTTCGGCGCTTGTAATGACCATGCCGGACCCAATAATGCCCATCATAAACCCAGTCTCGTCGAAGTTGTAAATATCCGCGTCTTGGATACCATGTTTCGCGATTGCCGCCGCAACTTGGCGAAACCACGCGCGATACGCGTCCGGATCCTCGTTCAAGATCCTCTTGTAGTCCATCCTCCGATGAAAACGCGTCCGGAGGCCTGGTGTACGTTTAATGAAGTTCGCCGTCCAGTTCTTTCCAACGCGTCCAGCCCCGCGCGCCGCCAACAATTGATTTGCCATATCTTCAACATAAGTGTACCGGGGCGGAAATGCTCGCGCATCCAGGTCGATTATGAAGGAACAAATGGCATTCTTTTCAGAAACCGTAAGTTTCAAAGAATTAGGCATGCTATCGCGTCGTGATGGTCGGCCGGCGATTCTAGCCTTCAAGGTATTGTATGGGACATGGAAAGTCTTAGAAAGCTTGCCAATGGTAATATGAGGGTCGCGTCGCTTAGCTTGGACAGCAAGCTGTAAGTCTGATTCGCTATAACGCAATGCCATTATTGTTGGTTGATCAATTAGGAGCCTTGATTGAAAGGTTGGGTGGCTGGTGAAAAGTTGCCGCTCGCTTGTAATTGCCGCTCGCTTGTGACCTACGTTAGTAAAGTTAATTTTGTTATATTTCCCTTTATTTTTAATTTAATAACGTCTTTAACAAGCGTGTGTAAAAGTGCGAGATGTTGTCACGGCGAGCGTACTGAGGAGCTGGGACATGGCCGGCAGCAAGCAGCTATTACTCTATTAACGAGAATATCAAGACTAGAGAGGAAAGGAAGAGAGAGAGAGAGATAGGTACAGTGGGAGGTTGCCCCTTTAAGGGGATCCTCTGGTCAGATCCTTCCCCTATTGGGAAGTATCCGCTTGTCATGTGGGAAGGTCTGTGCAGGCCGTCACATTTTTTATGATATTATTTATTTTACTTATAGCTAGATTGTTGCATCTATGCGATTCCAGCCTGCAAACCATCTATACCAGAACACACATGTATAATTAGATAAGAGATTAGATACCGGGTTGCAAGGTCACTTAGCCAGACCTTCGGGTGCAGCTAGACCACCCAATCCAACTCATCAGCAACATCATGACTTTGACCCATACTCGAGTATTGTTGAATACACGGATGTTGATTGATTTTATTGTTTGTTCTGCTCTGCGTGCAGAGATTGATTATCTGTCTTCTTGGTGGGTCAGGTGCACTGTGCGTCTCTGCGCCAGTGGAGATCTTCCGGTGTCTATCTCTGGCTCCCATTCAACAAGTATCGTGCTTGATCGGTCAAGCCTGTCCGACAAAGATGAATATATTAATTAAAAAGTAAAGTAAGGAAAAAAGTTTCAGTTTTTAATCACGTATCAAACATATATTTAAAGTCGCTTATTTAGACTTGAAAAAGGTATTATTAAGTTACTTTTTTTTAAATAAAACGCGCTGAAGTTGCGAGATATCATTATATCATACTGCGTTCAAGCTCGGTAATAATAACACGCGCCGCCGGCTTTTTAAGTCTAAAAAAGCTTGATAATGATATATTCAAAATAAGAAAGAGAAATAAGAAAGAAATAAAGCAGGTGGAGGGAAATTGAAGCGGGTTTTGAAATAAATGAAGCAGTTAGAGTAAAAATTTATTAAAAGCAAGCTAGCAGGCTAGTGAAACTTAAAATACTATTAAATAAAGCTAAAATAAAGATTTATAATATTAAAATAGAAGCAATTAGGCTTTAATATTTAAAAAAACGAGTCTTTATAGAAGTATTCAAAGATGTTTTAAGCTTATTTAACCCTGGTTAAATTTATAAGAAGTTAGCTTGAACTATAATCTTATAAACTACTAATATTTAATTAAGTCGGTCCAAGCCAAGTCGCAAGCCAAACCAAATCCAGACTAATCTAGTAAACGCGCTAGGTTTATGTACCGACACCTTCATTTAACACGTGCCAGGTGAGCAAGCTGAATTTGGCTGGGAATTTCCTAAATGTTAAGGCATTGAGCATTGTTTGTATGGGCAGACTGACTCAGAGTCGTGACTGATCGAAACGATTGCTCCCAGAACTAATTTTTCACGTGACAGGTCCCAGATCAACCAGGGGCGTTGAATGGTGCGCTGCGCTGGAAACCACTGTGTACGGTTCTCGAAGCAGCGCTAAAGCATTTTCCTCTTTTTTATCCACCTATATATCTTTGTCACGCTGCCGAGAGGATGCTGGTACGTTCTAGCGATGAGGGTATTTTCTGTGTGTGGAAGTATTGGATTCAATCGTTCAGTGGCAGAACCCGGCGGCGCCCCCTTGGTTTACGTCCTTCAACGCATCTTCAGCCCTTATATCCTGTCAAGATACCAACTCTGCGAATATAAATGCCGCAGAGACATGACAGACTCTGCATACGGACCTGAGCAGGTGTTCGATCTCGAGCCATGGTAAAGCTCCGTCGGCCTTGATACCCAGTTAGGCAGCATACACGGCATCTGCAGCACAATTCTCTTCAGACCCGGCAGCTTTGCACGCCTCGCAAGCTTAAAGCTCGAGGGTGTCACTTTTATTGCAATTCCATCCCTTTTTCAATCCAGTTTTTTAACTCGGCGCAGCAGCCTGTCCCAGACAATCTCGCAGAGATGCCCAGCAGGAAACTAAGAAGAGGCCATCCAGGCAACGACGCAAGGGCCTCTGCGAAATTTTCTCGGCGCCACAAATCTCAATTCCTCTTCTCTTCTCTCCAACAACAACACCCAAAAATTGCGCACACTTCCGATATTCTACGTTTACTACTAGATAACTGACAAGCACGCAATACCATATCATCGAGCAGTGATTTCGAGCGGGTACGGTCGAAATGACGTCCCAGAACTCAGGCGATAGTGGTGGTCGTGGTGGTCGTGGTGGTGAGGATCGCAGAGGCACCGCCTCCGTCCATCGACATCGAACCGTTGCCGTTCAAAAACGCTGAGCTGTGGCGGTGCGAAGCCGCAATATGCACCCTGCGCCCGAGTAAACATCATCTGTACATACGACCAGTCAGCCAAGAAACGCGGACCTAGGCCTCGCTATCTCGGTGACGAAGTAAAGGGATTGATGGGATTGTTCATGGAAGAAGATCGAGACTTCGCAGAGAGGGCGCGCGCTATCTTGCAGAGGCCCAGTGCCGCTAACTCGGACAGAACGAATGGTCAAGCCCTTCGCGACGCTGGATCGCGCAATCGGCTCATTGAGGTCTTCTAGCGAAGCGATTTGGCCGGTGACCTTGCTGGGAATCAGGGTATGAAGGCAGATGAAGAGGGGCCTTGAAGGACGCATGGCTGATGTGAACGGAGAGCCCAGACTCAGGGGGGTAGCCTGGACAGTATGGCTTATTCTCCGCGTTGGGGGAAACGGAGCAGGAATACTAGATGAGGCCAACTTGGCCTAGTCTCTCTCCCCTCCTTGAATTTGCCATGATGACGATCAGCGTTCTCACCCTCTCGGCCTGGAACGCAAACCGTCCCGAAACGGAACAGACACGACACCTTCCTTTGCATTTTCCACTATATGGAGGAGTGTATCCATGGTAATGTCCCGTCGCACATGGTCGTGCGAGATGCATATTTCTGCGACTAGCTTGCAAACTGATGGTTAGCAGCCGGCCTTAATTTGGTGTTGATGGTCTTTGCCCCCATACCTTTTTCCCATTCTTGGTTTGGAGCTGCTGTTGGCTTGTGGGGTGGTTCGTGGGATTGTCTGCATGGTGAGTCCTGACCAAATAGTATTATATAGGTGCAGAGGAGAGGGACGTGAGAGGAATTTTTTTTTTAAGCTCTTCGACCGAAGGGAGGAGCCAAACCCAAATACCCCAAAAGACAACAAAAAGCAGAGCCCCCGTGCTGGGAGGGACGTGTGGGCGACAGTGTCTGTGCGGTGTTGACTGAAATTTCAAGACAAAATTGCGTATTGAGACCGACACGGCTGCTTTCTGATATACATGATGTCTATGCCCCATCGAAACGGCAGGAAATGAGTTGAGACGCTCCTTTAATATAATACATCTCCACCGATCCGTCATGCGTGATACCGCCTTGACGCCTAAGGTTCAGGCCCTCGTACGTGTGTCTACCAGTGTAATGGCTCAAAGTGATCACCATGACCATCCAGCCCAATGCCCATTGCCTCAGCTCCTCGGAAACATCATCCCTATCTCTCGTCTCTAAAAGGGCAATTTAACCGGCAAACCACACAATTCGCCACCATATCGCTCCACAAGCGCTCGCAGTTGCAAATCCAGCTATTGCCGCCCTCCCACCGACGTAACCGGTCGCCCGTACCATGGAGCCCCGTACGGAGACCGCACTGGATGCAGAACCGGCGCAGCTTGACGATGGTCTGCTTGCCAAGCGGCTCGTCTCGTAGAGCGTGCAAGGCCTGTTGCTTGTCGAAGCACCTGGCCGGCAGGACGCGGTAGCATATGTAGCAGCCCATGTTGAAGGGAGATTGGTTGATGTGCTGTGTGAAGTCGCGCTCGGCGCGCAGGACGTAGGCTATCCCCTCGTCTTCGGGCGAGGCGTGCGGGTGGACGAGTGCCCTCAGCATTTTGTTCGCCAGACGCAGCTGCATCAGCGGGTAGTACGGAACGTGCTGGGAGGTCCGCTCTGTCAGATGTCTGGGGAGGTTGTCGAGCCGCCAACCACCGTCGGGCCGGGGATAGGATTGTTGGTATCCCTGGCGTGAGCTCTGGGACAGAGGACTCGGCGATTGCTCCGGGTCAGAGCCGTGGCCGTTGCTGCGGAGATCACGGTATGCTAGTACCCGCAGACGTGGTTGGCGTGGCCGAGCTGGATTGTTTTCCCAATCGCCGCCGATACCTGGGAACGGGGGATGTGAAACATCTCCGTTTCGAAGAAGGTACCGTTCCAGGTCGTGTCCGACGGCCATACTGGCGACTGTGGTTGCCCTATACGAAAACACTGGATACTATGAGTCAGGAAGTGCACGAGATAAAAATCTCTCGAAGAAATGGCAAGCTAACAATGTTGCTAGCAGCACGGTATAATGCTGCAGTATGCGTCCCCCAAGGCTGAAAAGGGGTTCTTCAGCTTTAATTTATACTGAACAAGACAGTCAAAGCAGGGTTTCTGGAAGCAGCGAGGACCCTGTTAAGCATCATGCAGTCCGCCATGGCCATATGGCAATCTGGGCGAACATGGTACTTGGTTGGGACACGAGGCTTGAGGGAACAAAGAGAAGATAGTTTACGGTCACCTTGGCTGAGACACTGCAGAAACCAGATGCAAGCCCGACCTCCGACTGCACAGCATAGCATCGAAACGTGCAAGTTCTGAGCAGTCACTTCTCAGGGTTGGGATGTCGTTTGTGTGTCAGCCCAGCGTGTAGGTCGCGGCAGCAACACTCTCCGTGGGGTCCCTGGAACAGGCTGCACTTTGTCGTATATGTACACTGCCATCACATCATCATCACCTCGCGACCAGATTCCCGGGTCGAGCCTAAGCTTCTTGAGGAACCACTCCAACCAATGTGGGTCTCGCAACAGACGGCACGCTGCAGAGTGGACGGGCACATTAGCTGACTGATCACCGGGGTGGTAGAGGTGGTTCGCAGCATCAAAGTCACAGACGGGCCCACACGGCACACGAACTCATTAGTGTCTCGGCAGGCGTACAGTAGTGTTCTCGTTTTTGATGCGGCAGTCTGTGGCCAGCCGCGGGGACATGGGCGATCGCTTTCTCTCTTGGATCATGCAAGATGTGACAACAGCCAACTCAGCGATAGCCGCCTGTGGGCAATGCTTATACTGGGGCCGCGGCTAGATATCGGTTGGCTATGCATGACATGGGTGGTGTCCGTCATGGTATAACTCCTGGAAAGTGGTGGTGCTCAGCAGTCAAATGGTATTGGAGGAGACAAGATGTCAGGGCTGCAGGCCGTAAATCGGTGCCGAATGTAGCTCACCCCCAATTCCGCACTTTGGACTAATGCAAGAGCGAGCATCAGCACTCGCGCGGAAAAAGGCCACGGCGCTTAGAGTAGATCGACCATTCTGGCCTAGGTCTCGCAGGAGCCTGTGTGACTTGTGCTGCGCTTGCAGCTGAGGAATAAGACGCTATCACGATGCGCGTCTATCGCTATGCGGCCCACGAACGAATGTGATAGCTCGATACCACCTACCTGTATGGGGATTCAGTTCGTGGTAAAATGCCATTAGGCGCGCTCGAACCCGGGCTGTCGGAAATAACGATGCTTTTGATCTCGGGGCTCATCAACGGTGATATGTGACGAACAGTCTGCCTCGTCCAGCGGAACGGAACAGCCGCGAGTCACTTGATCAGGCTGTCATGCGGGTGTTGTTGGTGTGGGAGACAGACGCAAATAGGTAGACATAGGCTTCAAAGACCCGGCTAAAAAGGACCCGACTTAAAGGACCCGACTTGAAAGACCCGGTATCTTGACTCTGGCGTATCCCACACAGTCTCGAATGAGGGATAACCCCAGCTTAATCAACCTTGACATACGCTGGAGAGGAATGGGAAAGGGTGAGGGCGAACAGTAGCTGGTTGGGAAAGCGAAGTACGAGATCATCTCCAAGCTGTGAGTAAAGCTGTGCAGGGGTCAGGTCCATCACTGTGACTCTGTGAATCCATATGTTGCATCGGGTGTGATCAAGCTCAGGCATCGATGCATCGCTGTCCTCGACGATCTAACCGATCCGAATCTCCTAGACAGCTGCCAGATAGAACGTTGGGGTGGGTCGTAGTGATGACGACCGAATATGGCGACAGACCGAGGGCCCAGTAATCAGCAGCATAACACCACCTGTTAGCATCTCTCCAGGGCTGCCGGCGGCACCACGACACGGAAGATATTCGAATTCTTCAACATATAGTCGTATGCAGTTGGTGTTGCCAAGATAGGTATGAAGCCATCCATTGGGCGACTGAACCGACCCCAGATATCTCTGCGTCGGCTCTACCAAAGTTCGAACAGGTTCGGCGAGCATGCCTGGTAGGGGCGCAGTCGTCAACGACGAAGGTGACGTTGATGTGCCACGTTGACGATTGGCAGACGGTCAGCCAATCTGCTGGGCATCGGAACTTCAGTTGGTACGCGGACTATAGGATGCTTCTTGGGGGCCGGATTGAATGCATGGCGGCAGGCACAATCATCACAACGCTTCAGACTGGGTCCTCAGTCCTGTTGGTGACAAGCGACCGAGTCTTCGCGCAGTATGCAAACAGTACGATCTGTCCCCACGTCGCGCTGGGAATCTCAGGTTGACCGTCGGCAGGTAGAATCAGATGATGACCTCCGAAAGTTGGGTGGATGAGTCCTGGAGGTAATTTAGGAACTGAGGGAAAGAAGGGCCTTCTGTTGCCAGCTGACAGCACTAAATATCTGCAGCTGGTTGGCCGGCGTGTCGGACCGTCGCAACAGAACGCTGACTAAACACCGACATGTCTCACCTCAGCTTGGCTTCCCTTCTCGGCTCTCGGTTGCCTCACCGTTACGTCGCTTATCTACCAGCGGCGTCAGCCTTTCTTCATGTTCCGACACGACAGACAGAACAGTCAGATCAGGATACGGGATACCTCAGGTTTTGGTCGACTCCTGGCACCAACACAACACCTCCGAGTCCAGGACCGGAAGAACACGACCACGTCCGGAGCCTCTTTCCGGGCCAACACGGGTCCTGGCCGCCAACAAGATGGCCACCGATCAGGCACAGGAGCACGCGCAGGAGCAGCGCCACAGTAGCTCAGCACTGGATAGTGGCTTTGAGCATACCGAGGCCTCTCCCTTACTGCAGGACCACCCTCGACGGCCAGCCCATCGCACAGGCCTGTCGGTCGCCTCAATCGCCAGCATCGCCAAGTTACCCAAGGCGCACAGGAGTAACACCATCGTGAATCTGCTATGCCTCATCATCTTCATCGCTACTTCGGCGGGTGGCTTCGTTGCCATCCCGTACACGCGTCTGGTGGAGGATGTCCTCTGCCACCAGTACTACGACGTCGAAAGCATGCAGCCCATCGACGAGAATCTCTGCAAGGAAAATACGATTCAGAGCAAGCTGGCCTTCATTATTGCCATTGGGGGCGCAATCGATGCCATTGTCGGCTTCCTTGCCGCTTTCCCATGGGGACTTGTGGCGGACAGGTAGGTACATCGTGGTGCGCTGTGAGCTCACCGGCGCCTGTTCACGTCACAGCTAACATGATGCTTAGATTTGGACGAAAGCCTGTCTCTGCCCTCGCCATCGCTGGCTTAGTGATGGGTCTGCTATGGACCATGGCCGTCGTGTATTTCCACAACGCTCTTCAACTTGAGGCCGTCTGGCTGGCGTCGGCAGGTTCACTGCTCGGAGGCGGCAATGCTGTCCTCATTGGCGTAATACTGAGTATGATCTCCGATGCGACTAACGAAGAGGAAAGGTCAGTCTAGATTCCCGTCGTGTACATCTTTTTGATTGGAGTGACTGATAATTCACAGAGCGATCGCATTCATGCGCACTCATGTCTGTAGCCTCGGTGGAAATCTGCTATCACCTGCACTCGCTTCCGCCATGATGATAAAGACAGGCCCATGGCCACCTCTATGGGTTGCCGTGGCTCTTCAAGTCGTCAGCGCCGTCTCGTTCCTCTTCTTGCCGGAAACGCTGCCACACAAGCGGCTGCATGGGAATGACGAGGCAACGGAGCCCGCCAACCTCAAGTCACGAATGTCCCGGTATCGAGAGTCCTTGTCAATGCTCAAGTCACCTTCATTGGTGCTTCTCCTGCTAACAGCGCTGGTCACCGGGCCCGTTGCCTACTCGACCCTCCAGTTCATGGTACAGTTCATCTCGAAGCGATACAGTCTTAGACTCTACGAGACCGGCTACGTCCAGGCCGCATTTGGTGTTGCCCAGGTCGTACAAGCGCTCATCATCCTACCGTGGTGGTCAAGGTTCCTCTTGAAGGAGACCACACCTGCCACTTTACGAGCGCCCGGTGAACACCACCGGGATCTCAGCATCTCCCGCTGGTCGTTCGCCATCCTCACCATCGGTGTTATGGTCCTCGGACTTTCGCCAACCCTGGCCAGCTTCATCTTCGGGCTCATGCTCATGGCCCTCGGGTCAGGTTTCAACAGTCTGGCGAGGAGCGTCATGAGCCTGTACGTGGACCCGGAGCATCGATCCCGGCTCTTCAGTCTCGTCGGCATGGTCGACGTGCTGGGTGTTGTCTACGCCCAACCCATGCTTGCCGGTCTTTTCGCGCTGGGGCTGAAACTCGGCGGCGGCTGGATTGGACTCCCTTACTACGGCTTAGCGGTTCTTGTAGCTACCGCGGGCTCCCTTCTGCTGTTCGTCAGATTGCCGGGCACAGGGCAAGGTCTGTCGCCGGCACATGAGGACGAGAACCACCAAGACTAGTAGAACTCTTGGGATGGTTTTGGGAATTTTTCCTTCTTGAGCAAAGCAGGCGGCATAGAGCGCGGCGTTACACATCCGTCATAGTGCTATACATATATAAAGGTGGTCGGGAACCACATCATCTGCATTTGGGCCCGGAAGAAATGGCAACAGGTTCAAGCAGATTCGATTATGACATACCACTGCATTTAGCGCATGGTCAAGCAGTGACATGGGCGGATTGCACATATGAGGGCCATAGGCGCGATGATTTCTGCCAGGGCAGCTATGTGATATCACGAATCACTGCAGCCGGCTGTAGTTTCTGCCTTACCATACCTGAACAGCAACCTGCCCGGGCTCCCTAACGTATGTGAAAATGGGCATGAACTTCAGCATGCCCCTTCTGGTATCACCGAGCGCTTGAAGGGACTCGTTAAGATCGGCGGACTCGGCTAGGGATGTCGAAGTTAGAAGGTGACCCGGTTGTCATCCAACAGACAATGTGAGGTCAGTGATGCGAGGGCGCGTGCTGCGTGCAAAACCCCGAGTATCGTGACCCTAGAGTGTCTAGAGACGATGTCACGGGCTGTACTAACGGAGAAGCCAGGTTTGGTCTTGAGTCACTGGCTGATACGAAGAGTTTCGCTGACGGCAAGGGCGATATCCTTGCTCGGGCTCCTCCTCGTTAGGGTGAAAGACAAGGGTGGCCGTCCAGCGCTATGCAAATGGTACAGAACCCAAGCAGACACAGAGATGCTTAGTCAAGCCATACTCGCTTGCCCTTGGAACTGGGGTTTCGTTGATCCGCTTGCAAAATCAAGTGGAACTCCCTCTCTTCAATCAAGTCCTTCGCCGCCTGCGCATTTGCTAGCACACGTGGGATGTACGCATACGCACGCAGCGCCAGCAGCACAGTCGGCGACAGCGTATCCAAGATGTCCCCCAGAATCGCCAGGTCGCCAGCCCGGAGCGCCTCGTGGAAAGCCGACCGCGGATGGTCGAAGCCGCACTGCTGTTCTCGGTTTACAAGCAGGGGACTAGCACCGCAGGCCATCAACGGCGCCGCGATCCTGCGTTTTCTGTAGCGGACGGCTAGCGCCAAGAGCGCATCCCTCGAGCGATACACACACTTCGCCAGGTCCGGTCGCGTGATTAGTTGCAGGAAGTCGTCGGCTCCGCCGAACTGGAGCGTCGCGGTAAGCCACAGGGGTTGCTCCCGCCTGCGGGCGCCGTTGGCGAAATCAACGCGGTCCAGCACCAGGCGCGCCAGATGCGGTCTGAGGCTCCCGAGGGCGGTGTTGTACCACGTCAGGAACGTGTCCGGTGGCGCTACGGAATCAAGTAGAAAGGCGAAGTCTGCTAGAGCAGATGCTTGACCCTTTGCTTCCGATGGTCTCCGGGCTCCCGGAAACCCTGCGAACGAATGCGGCGTGAGCCAGATAGGCAAGTGTGGGAATCGGTGATCGCGGCGGCTGGTCTTCTTGAGGTAGTCAATAGGTACGCGGCAGGCATGTGATGTGTGGAAGGTCATAGTGCCCTCGATAGCTTCTATGAGGTGTCCATTGTCCAGGTTTTGGTCCGTCGCCAGCTCCATGAGTGACCTGAGCAGTAGTATTTCTTGATTCCGGTGTTCACAACGCGAGATCGTGGTCTGGAGGAGGGACAAGACAGAGTGACCTTTGTCATCCAGGCGTTGCCCGTACTTTACGAGGACCCTGGCCATGCCGAACTTGTCATCATTGCCCGAAATGGAAACCGGTAGTCTTTTTTGATAGACTAGGTCCAGGTTTATGATTGAAAGACCGGCGTCGTCAACTAGGTTAAGATCCGCACCCGCCTCCAGCAATATCTCGACGAGATGTACATTTTCATGACGGTAGGCCATTCCTAGGGGAGTATTGTCACCGTAGCTACTTGCGTTGGGAGACGCGCCTCGCTTGATGAGTTCAATTAACACCTTGTCCCGCGTTTCTCTGTCACAGTCGCCACGGCGGAAATAAGATCTCAGGCAGACATGAAGGGTGAGAGCTAAGGCAGGCTGGGACGCGGGCGCGACACAGGCACCAGCGCGGATGAGGTGTAGAGCGTTGGTGTATTGGTCCTCAGAAAGTGCTGAGAGAAGAGGAGTCTGACCGCTAAACGCTGGGGCATCGATATTTGCCCCCATCGTGAGAAGTTGCGCGATGATCGCAGTATTACTGGGCATAGCTTCCGCCGCAAGATGCAGAGGGGTTCGTCCTGCGCTGTCGCTGAGATTGACATCGAGTTGCAGCACATTGACCAGGTGAGCGACAACGGAGTAGCAACCAGACGCTGCTGCTTCGTGCAGCGCATGTGAGCGGCTTAAGTGACCAAGCACGTTTCTCGGTAGGCGTAGCTTGAGATCTGCACCACGCGCTATTAACAGTAAGGCTATTGCTTCCTGCCCATGAAGCAAGGCGTGGGCTAGCAACGACCGAGGACCGTGTAGGACACTCCAAAATGAGATGTGATGCTCCGCCAACGCATCAACACCAATGCCGTGATCGAGAAGCCAAACCGTGACGTTCTCCTGACCGATTTCTATGGCCAACAGGATTGGCGAGGGGCTGCGAAAACTGTTGTACGGTAGGGGTAGATAGAGCTGTTTGGGATTGACCAGATCCAATCCGAACTTATAGGCCAGTTCCAACGTTGCCGTCTGGCCAGCTCTTACTGCCCACAGGACGACGTTCGAACCGCATAAGTCTCTGATGGCTCGATAGAGGACTGGGGTCGTGATGGCGTGTAATCGCCGACTTCTCCGCGCAAGTGCCGCGAGATCATCGCACCAAGACATAGCAAGCTGGGGCAGCTCTGCCTGGCGCAGGACGCATTGCATCGCAACAAGCTCGATTGATTCGGTAGGGAGGGACTCCATGGTGGCCAGTAGATGACGGTTCACGATCACGGACTGAGCTAGGATGGAACCGATGGAAAACCATGATTCTGAGAAGAGCAAACGGGTTGAAGTACAGGCGGACGGCTGCGATTTTGATCTCTTCTTCCGGCCTACCTGACAGTCCTGATTTTCCAGTGTGGGAGTCACGTCCGGTTCCTCAATGGAATGGTTATCTCCCCCGAGACAATTAAACAGTGTGCGGTCACCAGAAACCCTTGAAGACGACCCTGTCATGGTAATACATGAGTTTCGATGACTACAATTGTTTGACCCCTGCCAGAACAGTGCGAACTCGTGGTCAGCGCCAGAGTTGAGCTCCTATCAACCATTGGCGTATGAAGCCATACCTGTATTTGCGTCGCTCTGGTAGCAAACAACACGCTGACAGAGTTTGGCTGGCAAATTAGATAAGATCGCCCCTGTGATTACCACTTAGACCGCCTTATCGGTTACCATGTCACTGACAGCAACCATCGGTTCCGAGCGTTCAGTGACACACGGTTCCAAGAATTCATATAAAAGTCTCGCTCATGGCTGAGTGAACTTCCCCATCTTAGCCAACACATCTCCCAATCCTCGACCCCATTCGCTAGGTACACCAGGTTGTCAGATCCTCAGGTATCTTGTTGCGCCGGCCACTCCCGAACTGCCTCACGCCAACCCCCCAAGTCACGAACCACACCAGCGCCACGATGCTCTTCCACGCACTTCTCCTCCTCGCTGCTGGCCCGCTCGCGGCCCTGGCTGCATCGTCATCCCAGTCCACCCCCATCGATGGAGTCAACACCACATCGTCAGCCGAGGCTGAGGCCACCCCCACCGGTGATCAGACCCTCAATACCACTGCTGCCAATGGATATGGTCACTACACCCACAGCTGCAACTTCGCAGAACTCTTCCATGAAAACAACAAATGGCTGATGCAGGCGGACTGCGAGACGAAGAACCATAAGCGGCGCTGCACGAGACTGGACCCGGAGTTGTGCGTACATCTTGTGACATCACTGCCCATCCTCATCTTTTCCACGTTCACCGGTTTCGCCGTGTGGAGCAACTGCTGTTCAGTCATGTATATGCTAATCAGGTAACCCATCACCAGGTGCTACAAGTACGACATCAACGGCGACGGCGGCGTCGGAGAAATCGTCGCTAGCCGAGACGGCAGGGGCTTAGTCCATTGCGCCGACTGCAAGATCGGGGGAATCAACAACGAGGAGTTCTCCTGCACTTGCGGCATGAACGACGGACATGCCGCGACGCACTATGTCATTACGGGTGAGCGATCCTTGCCCGGCCAGCCCCTGCTGCCCTGAGTGGAGGGGCCGAACGACTGACATGTTGATCCATAAAACTAGACGACCTCATCTCCAACAACGACGGCTACCTCCAGTGTTTCGACTCCAAGTCACGGGGCACTGAGACGTGCCCCTAGAACATGGAAGCCCTCTGCTCCATAACTACCTGTCTTCTGGTCTGGTAGATGGTCTTCCCTTGACAGCAATATCATGGTCACACTGGACAAGACGGATAGGGGGTGAATTTTGGTTCTCTGTAGATGCTGCATGATATTTTGGTAGTAGGAACATCTGACACATGAAACATGTACCACAGAGCCAATCTGGCCGCCGCTGCAGCTCAGAGGCGTGCTATAATTCCCGGTGGAGAGATAGTTATTCAAGCACTACTTCTTCTTGACCGCGCTGATGCATCGTGGTGTTGACTGTTGACGTTTCCAGCGTGAGATTTTGGCTCTTGATATGCGCATATGGGTCTACGTACAGAGACCTCTCAAGCCCTTTGCTAACGGGCACGGAAGGCAGCACGGTGCAGTGGTTTGGATAGGATGGTGGTCGCTCTGCTGTACTCTGTTGCTGACGTGCGGTCCCTTGTGATTTGTGATTTGTGATTTGTGATTTGTGATTTGTGATTAGGCACTACACATATGAGTGTAGCATTACAATTGGGGGTTCGGATGAACTGGTGTCTTGATTGCTATGCCGCAACAACATCTGGTATATCGAACTTGTGTCTCCGTCGTAAGTTGCCACCTTTCTGTTGAGCCTTCTCAACGTATCTCGTGGCCGTGACGTTATTCGCTACCACGTCGCGCCATAGGCGCCAACTTTTTTTCTCCTGGTCGGCGGGCAATACCGGCATTCGCCTCAGCTGTCAAACAGTGGATAGATGGTACAGTGGGTAGAGAACGGGGAAGCTAGGGGTATATATGTACATAAATATGTGGAGGTATTATGTAATACCGTAACACCCGCAGCCAAGTGGTGGCGAAGGCAAAGTTCCGGTTCTCTTTCCGGGGCAGCCACCGCGTAGGCACGAAAGCGTTGGCAAAGAACAAAGACCTTTCCGACCTGGCTTTGGGCCCATATTATTTCGTACGCGTCATGGAACGTGTACTCGCCTTCTGCCGTGGCTCGCCCCCCCTGCTTCCGGCCGTGGTCAATGCCGACCGAAGTCAAGTTGGCAAGCTCGACACCCAGGATCGTGGTGCCGATGATGTCCAAGGAGGCCTTGTTGAATACCTCGGTGCAGTCGATTTGCGCAGAGCCCCCGTTCTTCGTGGCCTGCTCGAGCACGGCGCATAGCTCCCTGGTCTTGGCCAGGAAGACGGGCTCGAGCTTCCGGACGTTAAAGGAGGAGAAGGCACCGGCCAGCATCCTCCGGTGAAGGCTGTGCTCGCTGCCTTCGAGTGACAGGACGCCGCTGCCCGTGACCTCCCCGATCATGCGACGCCATCTGTCCGGCTTCTTGAATGAGTAGCAGTGGGTCTGCAGCACATCCTTGAACGAGCCGAGCGTATTGCAAACCTGTTGCTCCCTATCAGTGATGCACTGCGCCAGCCCTCTGCCTGCTGATATATCAGACGGGGCCTGCGGGGAGGAGAAGCAGGGATGGGAGGGAGTCGTTCACGGACCAGCACTTCGGTGTTTGCAAAGGTCAAATATCTGATGACGGGGGCATCGGGAAATTCCTTCATCAAGTTCTGGCGGAGATTTGGCCTTAATCAGATTGATAGCCTGTCCGAAGAAGAAGTGGTTATCCTGGGCGTATTGAGGTCAGCAAGGCTATCAGGAGGCCGGGGTATCAGTCCGGTGGACATTGGCGCTCACAGTTGGATCGGGGAGGTGTCGGAATGGAGAGAAGTATCGATGGAAGAGAAAGGTGCGATAGAATTTAACGGCTGCATCTTGCAGCAGGAATAATGTCAGAACAATCTTGTATCCGCCGCTAGAACTGTAGTTGGACCGGTCGAAATCACGCAGGTTCGTTCCGAAGGCCAGCCACTCGACAAGCGAGAGGCACGCACAGATGAGGATATCCATATCAGTCAGCCAGCAGCAGGACTCGGGAGGTCCAAGAGGGTGGGGAGGCTGGTTTGCAGGTCTCAAGTGAAAAGAGGAGAAAAAAGTACAGGACCGCCCGCGAAGGTATTATGAGCGGCAATATTTCAACTTTTCGACAGCGACTAACGTGAGGGTCTGAGAGATGCACTGTATAGGTAAATGCTATAGCTTAGAAAACAGCGCACGGACGGGGGATATGCCCCAAGTTGAACCAACCCGCATGATATCGCCGCTCTCCTGCATCAAACCGACATTGGATGCAACGTAAAGGGTATCGAGCCGCGCTCGCCGCGGCCGGGACCCCCTGCACGAAAGATTTAATCCTCGGCGGCCCGGTTGGTTGGTTTGACCTCCAAGGTTTCAAGGATGATGGGAAGGCACAAGCGATCCAACAGAGGCAGAAGGGGAATAATGAATGACAATCACCGGGGTTGGCAAGGCCGCAAGACTCAAAAGAGGGAAATGTCACATGGACGGCCGTTGTCTCTGTCTCGTCGTCGACTCGCCCACCTGCTTTCGAGTATTTTTAGTAAATAAAATTTTTTTCATATATTATAGAAAGCGAATAAAGTAGCCGTTATATATATAGGTAAAGAAAAGGTTGTTTTTATTATATTTATTTTATAATAGTATACTTTCTAAGCTTTATATATAAAATGTATTATTAGTATAATAACTTCTAATAATTTAAGGTTTATTATAAAAAGGTTTATATTCAATAATACGTTAATAAAAGCGGAAAACTCAGGATTTTTTGGTAAAAATACTAATTAACGTAGCTGACAAGCGAGTTGACATTACAAGCGAGTTGGCACTTGTCATGAACTCTCCAACTGCCATGTCAAATAACTTCACCACAACGCATTCAGTTCAATTCAATCAATCGGATTCCTTTTCCTCAGAGGTTTCTATCTCTATTGTACAAGTTCGCGCATTATGGCCAGTATTGCCGCAAATGCCACACTGTCGCCCACGCGCTGCCGCCCTCCTTGGATGACGACTACCTTCACCCATTTCCTGTCTTGCCAGCTCACCACCATCCTTTACAGCCTGGAGACCTACTGCATCTTCAACGGAAAGTATTCCTCCTTTCACTAGACGTTTGTTTTTTGTCCTCCGGCGTTTACTTAATAGGTGATTGGCCTCCTCTAGCTCGCGGACCCGGGAATCAACCAAAGCGACCTTGTGCATAAGACCGTATGTAGCCTTTGAAAACGAGCTCAACGCATCAATTATTGATGTAAGTGAGCTTCCCTGGTGGTTTCTGACTCGATTTCGGATATGAACCGATTGGTTGACCGCTTCGTTGATGGTGGTAGGCGTCTTTGAAGTCCAAGTAGTGGGTGGCAGATTGGGGTCTGGCAACGGTGTTCGTACGACAGCGACAGCATCCAGTTTCGAAATGACACTTTCTGGGTCAAAAGGAACAAGCCCAGTGGCACTGAAACCTGCTCGAATGTTCCCTGGCGTCATAGCAGCGTTGTGTGCTTCACAAAACGCTGCAAGGAAGTCCTCTTTCGAAATATGGGTTATATGACGCCGCATGAGATCCTCAATCATGCGACCGTACGCTCGTTTGAGCGGGCTAAAACAACTGACATCTAAAGGCTGGAGCCTGTGTGACGAGTGGGCAGGCATACAAAGGGTAATAATGCTGTTGTTCTGGCAATATCTCTCAAAGATCTGGGAATGGTGGCTTTCGTGACCATCTAGGATGAGGAGGCGTTTACCGGCAGTCATACGCGGTCTGGTATACTTGTCGAAATGCCGAATCCATTCCAACCCAATCTCGTTCGTAGTCCACCCATTATCGGACACGGCCACCTTCCAATCGCGTGGTAATGTCGTGTCGCGATACCATGACGCGAGGTGGGTTTTGCCCTGTAGAATGATGAACGGCGGGACCACCCAACCATCAGCATTAACAGCAGAGATTGCTGTAGACCATTCCCTGTTGCCTTGCTAAGCTTGTCTAGGCCTGCCACGTCTTTCGGCGCTTGTAACGACCATGCCGGACCCAATAATGCCCATCATAAACCCAGTCTCGTCGAAGATGTAAATATCCGCGTCTTAGATACCATGTTTCGCGACTGCCGCTGCAACTTGGCGAAACCACGCGCGATACGTGTCTGGATCCTCGTTCAAGACCCTCTGGTAGTCTATCTTCCGATGAAAACGCGCCCGGAGGCCTGGTGTACGTTTGATGAAGTTCCGCGTCCAGTTCTTTCCAATGCGTCCAGCCCCACGCGCCGCCAACAATTGATTTGCCATATCTTCAACATAACTGTACCGGGGCGGAAATGCTCGCGCATCCAGGTCGAGAATGAAGGAACAAATGACATTCTCTTGGGAAACCATAAGTTTCAAAGTATTGGGCATGTTGTCGCGTCGTGATAGCATTCCTTTGACTCTATTGCTCAAAGTGGAACAAGGGACGTTAAAGAGTTTCGCAAGCTGAAATATAGGAATATGAGGGTCACGTCGTTTAGCTTGAACAGCTAGCTGCAAGTCTGATTCGTTATAACGCGGTGCCATTGTTGTTGGTGGAGATATGATGGTTTGAATCGTATTGGTTGGAAAGTTCATGACGAGTGCCAACTCGCTTGTAATGTCAACTCGCTTGTCAGCTACGTTAAACCTTTTTCTATAAAGACGCTTATATTCAAGCTTACAAGGTTTTTAAGCTGTTAGCGCTTTATAATCTTTAATAAAAAACGCTTTTTTAATAGGCGTTTTTGTGGAACAGGCTTGAACGATCAATCATAATACTCGAGTATTGAGTCAAGGTCATGATGTTGCTGATGGTTGAATTGGGAAGTCTAGCTGGACCTGCAGGTCTGGCTAAGTGACCTCACAATCTGGTATCTAATCTCTTATCTAATCATATATGTGGGTTCTGTATGGATGGTTTGACTGTGGAATCACATGGATCCAACAAAAGGTATAATAAAATATATATTTATAACGAGTTTACGGTTTATAATGTATAGTTGTTTTTAAAAAGGCAGTATGTATTAAGTATTTTAATTTCTTTACATAAAATCAAGGATATTTCTGTCTTGAGAGGAAAATATAATTCTAAATGTTATGATCAATTTATATAAAGTATCATAGTTTGTGAAAACTCAAAAGACAGCTTTAAAAAATGGTTTATAATTAACTAGATTTATTTATATAAGTTAAGTAATTTATAAAAAAAATGTAATATTTTCATAAAGATTTGTTATGTTTAAAGCTTGTATAGTATCAACGCTGTTTTAAAGCGACTTTAAGTATGTAATAGCTTGTTTATGTTACAAATCAACAAATACCACGGCCTGTTGGTGGGCAAAGGGGAGTACACCAAGAACCAATGGAATCAGAAGCCAGGAACGAAACAATGGGTATTACGGATCACTGGATCACAAAGTGAGCCTGCGAGGCTCACTGGATCAGGGAGTGAGCCAGTGAGCATTACTCTGGGACAAGGTGATCCTACTCCATCAGTGAGGGAGAGATTGGATATATAAGGACAGACATTTCCCAACCAGATAGATAGACAGTCTCTACCTCAGTGATCAATCTAAGCATCTTAGCCAACCCTAAGGTGGGAGAAATCTCCTGACGACTCAACTACGCAGTGAACCCAGTTCAGACCAAGCCCCAGCATTTGAGTGTCTTCCAGTTGACAGAAGCCTCTATTGTCCTTTGTGTTGACTTACCTCAGAATATAAACCCTATGGAACCCTTTAGCCTTATAGGTTAGACGGCTCGTCACATATACGAAAATGAAACAAAAATAATAGATTTGTTACCCAGTTCAATATTTTTTATTATGGTAATCTTTTGGACCTAAATCATTTATTTATTTAGTTATAGATAGTTTTTAATAAAAAATCAAGATAAACTCAAAATCGTGGCTTTGCTTTGTTTTCTATATATAACAAATAAAACTTTTAACGAAAACACGATATTGTAATGTTTTCTTTGTCTATCACCTATAATACGGATCGTTAAAGAGTTATAAAACGCTTTTATATCGATTATAATTCGCTTTAAAAATACCAACTTTATCGGTTAAGTTTATTTGTATTATAAGGTTATCAATAATTTTATTAATCAAGATTTTCGTTTTCAGCGTTTAAAATAATGATAAGAAATCAATTCCTACTTTTTAAAACAAACGAAACAGTTTTATTTTAAAACTTTAATACAGTCAATATATTTTAAAGCTTTATTACTATTAAAAAGATAAATTACCGCCGCTTTAACCTTTTTAATTTTTATGATAATGTTAGTTATTATATTACAAACTATTTCGTTAACATAGGCTCCTAAAAGCGTTAAAAAAGCCGATATATATATTTTAAAAAATTCCTTCATTTTTAAAAAAAATTCCTTTTAAACCCTTTTATTTTAATGTTATTTTGCTAGTAATAAAAACTAGATTTGTATATACGTATTATAAATTCTAGTACCAGTTTTTATATAAAATATATCAATTATCTACTGTCCTGGTCTGGTACAGGTAGCCTATGTACTGAGTCCTGAAGCCCAGATATGAGTACATGTACCACTATTGAATGTCAAGCTGCCACGCTTAGTATTTGACATCCTTTTAGGAGGAGCAGTCGTGGCATGGTCGTTATAGTGAGCGTTCCGTCACATCTACTAGTTTATAATAAATATTAATTATAAATTATCAGGTTTTACCGAATGTTTATTCATATAATAATTTTACTATATTTTTAAATCATTTTTAACGTTACGTATTTTTAACATAACCGATAAAATTATTATGAATTTTTTTACTTAGTAAACTACGCTTTGATATCCTCGTTTTGAATGGGGAAAAAATAACTAGCAATAAACGAAAAGTTATTATGTCGTACTTTTTTTTTTTTGTGGGCTTGTTGTTTTGATTAAGAAAGTAAATCTTAATACGTATAGTCATTTATACATATAACTTATAGTCTGAGATTTCCGTGCATAAACGTTATGTCCGGGTTGTGTAGCTTTTTTTCCCAATAATATAATTATTTGACCAATTATTTTGTTTTTTATTCTTTTTTATATTATATCTGTTCGCTTATATTATAAATTATTTTTAACTTTTTTATGATATTATTTATTTTACTATAGCGTAAATTGTTGGATCCATGCGATTTCAGCCTGCAACCATCTATACCAGGACCCACATGTATGATTAGATAAGAGATTAGATACCGGGTTGCAAGGTCACTTAGCCAGACCTTCAGGTCCAGTTAGACCTCCCAATCCAACTATCAGCAACGTCATGACCTTGACTCAATACTCGAGTATTATGATTGATCGTTCAAGCCTGTTTCAACACAAATATACACAAATATTATAATTTAAAAAGTTGTCTCGCAATCATATATTTATAATTACTTGTTTCATTTTACGTTATTTATCGTAAATATTATGTCACAATACAGGACTATATTATGGGGTCAAGAATGGAGTGTAGTGGTTGTGTGATCTAACTTCGGTCCGTGGGACGAATCTCAGTACTAAATACAGTGCGATCCTGAAAGACTGGCCCATCCTTAGATCTGACTGTCAACGACTCCTTGTCTATCACCCCTGAAAGCCCCTGAATGGAAGCTTTCCATCCCTGAATAGGGGCTTTCTGCCCCTTTTTTCCTTCGACCAGCTGTTCTGGTCCATTCCAGCTGCCGCGCAGCTGGCGCCCCAGCTGCACGGCACCTGCGCGGCACCTGTATACCAACATATTACTTATTAGTTTAGTTTTCTATTAACCTTATTGTATATTTATATATATATATTTAAATGTAAAGATTTAGCTTAAGAAAATTTTTGCTCTAAACTTGTGTCCAACTTATTACTAAATTAATAATAATTATATACTTTTGCATTTATAAACGACTTTATTAACTTAATTTATATTTGACCTACCGCCTCCACACAAGACGCTCGTGCAGGATAAAACTCTCATGCTCTTATCAAGAAGTGGATTAAGCGACACCTTGATTGGGCAGAGGCAGACAGACAATTTACGAGCTTGAGTGGAGAAACCCTCTTCTCGAACGGATATACGAAAACGAGGCCCTTGAAAAGGTTGAGAACGTCATCATGCTGTGGTCTCACATGTAAGCTGACTTTTCCCTACTAATCATTTAAAATACTATAACAATGAACGCGACTACCAGAGCCCAACCGCAGCTTTGTGGCTTGTTGACCATCCATCTTCGACTCTCTGTCCCAAAGCATCGGCCAACGATCATACCCATTAATGTGGTCAAAGAACAAGCGCCCTCGCTCCCTTGGAATTACGCTGACTCTGTATAACTGGGCAAATGAAATCCGTAAACCCTAAAGCAGTCTGGTCCGCTCCCACAAACTGGCACCTCGTACTCAGCGGACAGCGAGCGCCTTCACGGCACTGCGACAAGCAAGTGAACGTCAGTACGACGTCCTGTGCACACCGTTGGATCGCCACACAGGTTTGGAACCGAGGACAGCCGCCGAAGCTATCGCAGTTCGTGAAGACCTGGTTGGTTCGCGTCAGTCTGCCGCCCAGTAGGTCACCGACAAGCTGGCCCAGGTCGTCGACCGCGGAGCCATTGGCGATAGTTATGTGATCTACTATGTTGAAGGTTGAAGGCCGCGAGGATGGTGGTCCGGTCCAGTCCGTTACGTTTTTGGAAGTAGTCGCATAACCCGTGGATCCAGAAACGCACAGGTCCTGCGTGCCCCAGATGGCGTCGGCGGCATACTGCCATAGGGCAGTGTAGTTGAAGACTGTCTGGGGCGTGTAGAAGATACGGCAGTCAGCCGCTTCGTAGGCGAATTGAAGAGGAGTCGTTTCTCTCCGGCGAACCTGATCGCGCAAGTTTATGCCAGCGTCAAGAAAAAAGACGTCCAGAGCTTCGGTGCGATTCGGAAGGAAGCCGGCCTCTGGAGAATCGCCTAGCAGTTCTTGCACAAAGTCTATATTGCTGTCGAGGATGGAAGTCGATAGTACGCGGGCGCCCCTGGATCCACTGGCTGCTTGCATTGGTCCAGTTTGAGGCCTGCCTCCGACAGTGACAACACGGACGCCAGCTTCGTGGTGCATCATCTCCACGAGAAGCGCACACGATGACCCGCAAATGCCATCGGTCAGCTAGAAGCGGGTGTCAGCATGATTTGAACACCATCGTCTTGAGATACGCTTACGAGAATGATATCCCCGGGGGGCCATGGTGGTGCGGCTGCATCGGCGGACGCTGGAATGACCTGGAAGTCTCCTTCATCTTCAAGCGAGTTATCGACGAAGACTTCACTTGAGAGATTGAATCGTTGCTTTTGGCGGAACCATGTCAGACAAGGCAGAACACAAACCCGAATTCTTCGCTGTGGCTTACTTACCGTCTTCGTGAAAAGGTGCCCTCCATCTGACAAAGGCCCAAACAAGTCATCCCAGGAAGTGAAGTTGGAGCCTGTCTCAGCATCCAGGCGAGCGGTTGCAACCCATTCGTCGGCAGCCAGGATACCAGAGTCGGGTTCGGTCGACGACAGTTGGTTGAAGTAGGTCGTCAGAGTCTGGCCCATTATGTTGGTAGCGTCTTGGGCGCGGAGACGTGACCCTGCGAATGGCTCGATGTCGGGGAAGAAACGTTTGAACCTGTCAACAGCCAAGAGCACCTCTCCGCCAGTGTTTTGCTGGAGGTCAATCACGACTTTCTGAAGTCCAGCTGTTTTACTCTTCGCTATAAACTTGTCGATCGTTAACTGGGTTGTGCCGAGTGCTGCGCCAAACTCGTCGAAGCTTGGTATACTGAGGACAGCAATAGCGGTCGAACTCAAGAACTATCCTGCATTGAGATTAGCTAAATCACATAAAAGGATCGATCAGACAGAAGACATGCTTACCGGAGATATATCTGCCGCCGAATGTACCCAAGCCTGGCTGGGCGACGTCGGGAATCTCTGGGTAGGCCGGAGAGTTCCACGAAGAGAACATGGGCACTGCAGGAACAGTGATATTCGGGAGAGTGGCATCGACAGATGAGTTCGTCCCAGTCGGATCCTCGAATCAAGCAGTGGGGTCGAATGAGGCAGGGAAGAATCCCAACACGAAGAAGTTGTAAAAGTCTCCGCCCGTTTCCAAAGGACCAGTCGGGCCTTGACTGAAGTAGAATACTTAGTTGTTCTCCGATATGGTAGTGCCGTTTTCCAGCTCAAACGTCATCGTGTCGCCGAAGTAGCATGGCGTCTGGCCAGTAAAGACGTTGAAGGACCCCTGAACATCCTGTGCAAAGCTGAACATGAGTTGGTTCCAATCAGCGTTTGGCTCAACCGTTCCCATCGAATTATTCACTGCGAAACCTTCCAAGTATGCTGTCACTTCCTGGCCGTTGATTGACTTTATTGGTGATGGTTGAAAAACTGTGAAAGCGGCGCTATCGAAGGCGTCCCCTAAAGGTTGGTTTAGCTACGTGCGTGTCGGAGAGTAGATGGACGCTGGCACCTACCTCCTAGATACACATGTGGTAAACTGGGTGGACAAAAGTCTCCGCCCGACCCACCACAATCTCCTTCAGATCAAAACAACGCGTCAATCACCCTTCGACTTCACCACTCTCTCAATACCGCAATTGATAATGGATTTACGATCTTTTGGGGACGAATTAAGCGGTAATCGCGTCGCTAACGGCAAATTCACTTCAGAAGCTCGCTCAGCAATCATGGCGGCGCGAATCGACGGCAGAATGCATAGGGATGTTATAACCGCGTTTAAAACGAAGCGCCTGAAAACCATCTCCGATATTATTACCAACTTTGAGGCCACTTTTACACCAAAATCTGCCCCAAGGAGCGGTCGCCCACCCGTTTTGAATACTCGCAAACGCGCTCATGTGATCGAAAAGGCGAGAGAGCTCCCCAGGACGACGTGGCAGAAGATTCGAAACGAAGCCTGCATTTTATGCTCTCCCAAGACTATCAAGAGGATATATCACGCACACGCCTCCAGAAGTGGCGCATAGCGAAGCGAATCAAGCTCACAGATAAGGACGCTCAGAAGAGGCTCGCTTTTGCCAATTATTATAGCACATTAGAGCGCCTGGAGGAGTTGTTGCGAGCTATATTCTCAGACGAATGTACGGTCCAAAACTTATCCGATAATCCAGGCAATTGGGCCATCCGATTCTCTTCAGAGCGGTATCGTTATGATCTTGTGAACGAGACGGATCACGGCAAATCTCGTATTTCGATAATGGTGTGATCTATGATCTGGCTACGCGGCGGAGAAGGAGGACTAGGCAAGTTGGTCTTCTGCCCACTCGATCCGGATGCTCCGCGCGGAGGAGTATCCGCAGAGTCATACAAATGGGTTCTTGAGGAAGGCCTGCTTCCGTTCTACGAGGCTAGAGATCCTTTTGTTCAAGATAACACGAAAATTCACCTTACTGGCGGTGTTCCAGAGTGGATGGAGGAGCACGACATCCACTGTATCGACTGGCCTCCTCACAGCCCCGATATGAACCCAATCAAGCACATTTGGCGACTTCTGAAAAAGAACATACGTGAAATTGAGCCTGAATTTTCTGAATTAAAGGATAATATCCCCCATTATCACTACGCACACGAGTTAATTGAGCAGGCGTGGTCAGAGATCGATCCGGAGCAGGTTCGGGCCTTGATGGAGTCACTGGAGGACCGAATAGCTACAGTGAGGCGTGCCGGTGGTTGGTATACACACTATTGACTTAGTTATTAAATACAATTTATTTGAGAATTCTATCACCAGAATTGGATGCGTTATGGTTCAATTGAGTTGGAGGGTATAGTAGATGGAAGGGGTAAAATTGGGGATCGGGCGGAGACTTTTGTCCACGCATTGTAGCTGAATGCGGTCCACCGAGAGAGATACAACGTCGAAGGGGCTGACAACCGTGAAAACCGAGAGAAGGCCCGCTTAAAGGTATAGATGGCTGTCATGCGCAGCCATCAAAAGCGGCTGCAACGCCGCTATCAAAAGCCGCTGCAACGCCGCTTCGAACTCATATTGGTTCGCGAAAGAGCCGCTATCCACTGCATCTTGTCACAGCTGTAGACCAGCCAGCAAGTCCACGCTCGGCTGTTGATAACTTGAAGGTGGATTCTTCAAGTACTCTACAGTCGTCTGGAAAAGTAGTGTGTCGTTGTAGTACTGCAAGAATCGTGTGGCAACGGCCGGGTTGAAGGGGACGCTCGTGAGACACTCGTACACCAGGCCGGCGTCAAAGACCGTAGTTCCTGTTCGTGGGTCAGTCGAAGGGTTCTTATCGTGGAGTGAGGTGCCTGTACTCTCCGAAGCACTTATGATGGTCCCACACGCTGGTCTCGTGGGCTGAGAGTCCTCTGGCGGATCAGGCGATGTTGTGTCGGCTACCACCAGGGAACCACCGAGCGCAAGCAGCAACAGTCTGCCGTGGCTCCTAGACAGCATGCTTACTTGACAAAAAAGGGGATCAGTGATAGCACCAGCACTCTACTTGACCCCAATAAACACCGGTATTGACATTGCCGGCTGCCATAGCTTTATATTGATATGCCGTATTGCTTGAAACTGGTGGCTTTCTGACTTGCAGCAAATGCGCTTCAGCCCTGTCGACAACGTGTCGCATCAACGAGTACAAACTAGTCCACGAACTCGAAAGGCCTGAGAATCCACCGGCAAGGGGCTCGATTAAGAATAGATGCCATGGTCGAATAAGATGAAACGAAAAACCCGTTTCCTAGCTTCGGTCATAGGAACAGTTCGGGGCCGAAAGACCGTCAGCCGCATTTCTAAATGAAGTGGCTGCGAGGGACACCGTTTCAGCGCCATTGAACAAGGTGGCTGATTGGCCATTCCTTACGAGGTGTTCAGCTGCACCCAAGAGCTAGACATGAGGCAGGAGTCTTCGATCCTTCACTTCAGCCCATATCCTGTGTGCGCGTACTACCACACATAGCAGGCTGGTGTGTTTCATCAGATTCGCCCCAAGGATGCCCTGGAAGGAGCACGTGCTGGAGCAGAAACACCCGGGGGCGGACTGCGTGTCATCCGAAAGTGGATCAACAGCCACGCCGAATCCAGCCCTACGTGCTCGTAACATTAGACGAATCGCGGGTAGGGGAGGGCAGTCCCAATCGAATGCATCAAGAAGCTGAGGCTGCCAGCAAAAGTAGCATTTGCCAGCGAGAACGAAGATCGATCAAACCATGGCTGGCATTACTGAAGCGACCTATAGATATGCCGTTCTGCCAACGCAGAAATCGATCCGGCTTATAAGAATCATATCCAGCGCTAGACAACCAACGAGGTGCTCCCTATCAGTACACAGTCTAGATAACGCGCCACCATATCATGCTCTGTCTTACACCTGGGGCGATCCGCTGGACCAGCGGCTCTCCTCATCCGAGCGCTTCAGAGTATTAACCAATGGCCTCGATAAGGTGATCACTCATCAAGATCGTTCGGTCATTAGGGTTACGGAGAATCTTCTCGATGCCCTACACCATGTCCACGGAAGTATGCCCACGAATGCACGGGTAGGCGAATCGGAACCGACTCATTGGAGCGATGCCGTTTGCATAAACCAAGCTGACATCGCAGAGAAGAGCACGCAAGTCGCAATGAGTACGTGAGAGCCCAGCCAACTTATCGCTGTCGTTACCAGTAAAGAAGCCTCGCGAGCTTCCCCTAACGACAGCTGGCAGTGGATCAGATTTACCAAAAGGCTCAGACGGTCGTCATCTGACTCGGCAAGGAAGACGAGCATACGGCGGGTGCAATCAAAGTGTTGAACAGGCTTGCCGGACTGAGTCCGAGCGCACTGGACGGACCTGACCGCATCAAGTCTTTCAACAGTGACGGGTTTCAAGCCGCTGAATCTCTGACGGAAGTACGCGATGGCCTCGGGATTGACGACTTGGACTATCAGGACTGGCTCGACTATGCTGCGCTGCTGCAGCGCAAGTGGTTTACCCGAATATGGGTAGTGCAGGAGAGGTTCTTCTCAACAAACACCGAGGTCTTCTGCGGCGGGTACAGGATTTCCTGGATGGATATCCTCAAATCGTCTCGAGTCCTGGCTCAGATGCACATGGATACGCTGTTGATGGCGTACGTGGGCTATGTGCTACAGGATGACGAGCACGACATGGACATGGCATTAGCCGACCTGCCGGATAACCGCCTGAATAATCAGCATATCTTCAGCACGCTTCGGAACAGCTCGACCGGGGCCTTCACTCTGGCGAATCTACTGGCCAACAGCAGATATTTCGACGCAACAGACGGGAGGGACCACGTGTTTGCGGTTCTGGGCATGTGGAGCCCCCATGCGGAATCCCAATACGAGCTCAACATTCAACCGGACTACACCAAGACGATCAAAGAGGTGTACTACGAAGCTACAATCCTGGCAGTTCGTGAGTCTAACAGCTTAGACATCCTGAGCCTGGTAGATGATCCCGCATCTCGATCACGACAGGAGCTGGCATCATGGATTCCCGACTATAGCTCGGGGCCGCGCATGTACCCTCTGATCCAATGCCCGTTACTTACACAATCATTGACTGAGTGGTGCGCGAGTACTGGCCTTGAATTCCCACCCCCGAAGCTTGGAATTAGGCCTGTTTTGACCACATACCGGTATGGCTTCGACTTCGACGCAGTCGAGACGGTTGGGCCGACGTATACGGAGATCATGAACCGTTTCGAGATCGAGTCACTACTACGCCTCGTGGCTGAGTACCCGCAGATGTTTTATCCTACCGACTTGCCACCCAGCGAAGCATTCTGGCGGACGGTGATCAAGGACACCTACCGCGATCAGCCGGCAGAGGACGAAGCTAGGAGCGCATTCCCCGCCTTCATCATGCAGCGAGTCCGCGAGCTGCGAGAGCAGAGATCTAACATGGTCGATTTCAATCGCCAAGACAAGGCGGAAGCACTCTCGGGGCTCCTGCACAAGACCGAAGCCACGATCTCTGAACTCCAATCAATGTATGGCATGCAGGACATCATACCTTCACTTGAAGCGATCGGTGAGATGATAAGGATAGAAGAAGATGAGGGCTCGCCGGAGGAACAGAGGTTGGAACGGCATCACAAGAGCATGGAGGAGAGCTTTCGGGTCGCTTACTTCGGCCGACGGCTGTTCAGGACCGGGAGGGGCTACCTTGCCATCGCGGCCGAGTCACTACGGCTTGGTGACAGGGTCTTTATCTTGGCTGGGGCAAGGACACCGTTTATGCTGAGAGCTGCGGATGGGCAGAACTGGCGACTTATTGGTGAGGCATACGTGCACGGGATCATGCGCGGTGAAGCTGCTGCTCGCCATCAAAGTAGTGTGAATGGGATATACTTGGTATGACTGGAATGGAGGCTCACCAGTGTTTCTTATCAGGAAATATCAAAGACTGCAATCTTCTGGACGTGTTGATCCACTTACTGCTAACTGCGACTCCCATCGTGCAAGCTCACTAGGTGTGGATTACGTGTGGTTAGGTATGGTCTTGGGTATAGGAAGCATCAATATTACAGACATGACCATGGTGCCCCCTTAATTCCCAAATCAATGGTTGTTGCAGGAAGTGGTTTATACCCCAAGAATGGTCTTTATGTAAACCTGTTCACCCCTTCACACATCTCTACAGTGCATGTGCCTGGTAAATAGGGGGGGAACCACGGACCAGAGACGAGAGACGCACTGTGGCGTTAGGGGCTTTGTAGGGTCTCCCCAGTTGCCTATGTTAGCGCCTCTTTGCCTCAGACACCTCAGAAGCCTCAGACGGTGTCACGGGGGCCGTAATCACGGTGTCACGTCGGATAAGCATCGGATAAGCAAAACGAGGATCTGCGTTTGATTGAGGCAAGCGTCTGTGGCGTTGGCCATAGCAACATGTTTTCAATTTCCCACATACTGGGCGGGCAGTGTGCCCTTTGCTTCAACATTTGATCATCACAAACCGGCCAACGCAATGCAACACTTTTTGGCTTAGCATCAATCAAGATCATCACTTTGAGTCATCACTTCACCATTGGACACAGTCCAGCCACCCTTAGCCTGGCTATATCCCTATCGCATACCCCAGCGACAATCATGGAGGCTGAGTCCAAGCCCCCGGTCCCGGTCGCGGTCGCGGTCACGGCCATGGCCAACAAGTACACCAGTACCGGCGAGGAGCTTTACTTCGCATATGGCTCCAACCTCTCACCCACACAGATGAAGGAGCGATGCCCGGGATCGACTCCAATTGGCTTGGCCCATCTTCCCGGCTGGACCTGGATCATCAACGAGCGTGGGTATGCGAACATCGTTCAGATCAATACTGATCGCGACCCCGACGCCCCGAAGGAGCTGTCGGAAACGTCCCCCGTTGGCCACAAGACAGACGGCAAAGCAAACGGTCAATCTGCCGCGGCACACGGGGTATACGGAGTCCTGTATCGTCTAGACCCAACCGATAAGGCAACTTTGGACGGTACGGATAGAAGCATCCCGTCATAAGACCCCGCGCCTTGATTTCGAGAACAAGCTTTGTGGTTCCCTTTCCTTCTTTATCTAGAGTTTAGCCATACGGGTTTAAAGACACGGTGTTAAAATACAAGCAGTGTACGAGGGAGTCCCGTGGTCCTACGAGCGCCAGTTCGTCGAAGCAATCTGGGTCGAAGGTCCGGACGCCGAGAAAGGCCAGAAGGTCACTGTTCTGGCCTATGTCGACTACCTACGAGTGACGCCCGATGTGCCTAGACCCGAGTATATCGTTCGAATGAACAGCGGCATTGACGAGGCCCTGTCGACGTGGAAGCTCCCCCAGACGTACGTGCAAGAGGTCATGAGACCATTCATCCCCAACGACAACGGTGAAGCCTAGACTATCTGTCAAATTGAGACATGAGGGTACATCTTGCTTCGGCTAGAATGCAAGTTTCCTTCCTCAGATAATGGCGTAATCGCGAAAGGGAATTCCCAACCAATCCCGACAAGCTATATGTAGGACAAGTATCGGGGTCGGCAGCTGGTGGCGCATCGAACGGTACGTAGGGTTACCTCCAAAGCATGAACATCACTAATTAAGTATCCCGTCCAGCGTCCGATAGGTAGAGAGCTCGGGAATTGCTATCACGATTAAGGTCGTGTTGCAGCAAGGCACCGCATAGTCAAACCCCGTATGCTCCTGGGAAACACATTGCGAGATAACGGGCATGACTAAGTGGCAGTCATGGCTGCAAGGTAGCATCTCTCTGTGGCCATGATAGAACGAGGGGTATCGGAGGCTTGACACATATAAACAGGCTTCTGTCAAGTGTATTTACTGTGCTCGGCTCCGTGTGCACTGTCTATCTCTATCTTCCCCACGCCTTCGAGATGATGACTCTTCAGACGAGCGACTTCACGCCCACTCTCACTACTCTGTCCCTCGGCCTCGCAGCCATATGGGCAGCTTCAATCTTTGCGACCGTTGTTTACCGGCTGTTCCTTGATCCTCTGTCGAAGTTCCCAGGACCGAAGCTCGCAGCGGCTACATCCCTCTACGAAGGTTACTACGATGTCATCAAGCGGGGAAAGTACATTCACAAGATCGAGGAACTGCACCAGCGCTACGGCCCCATCATCCGAATCAATCCCCATGAGCTCCATATTTACGACTCTAACTTCTATGATCACGTGTATAATGGTAAAGGCAAATGGGAGAAGTCTCCTGAGTATACTCGCTCTATAGATTCCGGAACGTCGGTATTTGGAACCGTAGACCACGACCTACACCGGCTGAGGCGCGCTTCGCTGAACCCGTTCTTCTCGAAGCAAAAGGTCACGGCTTTGCAGTCCGTGATCCAGGACCTTTCAGGCAAGCTCTGCACCAAGCTGGAGGCCTGCAAGGGCACAGATACGGCCATCGATCTTGAGAGTGCTCTAGGAGATTTCTCGATGGTAAGCGCCCTCTCCTCCGCAACTAAACACCTGACTGTGTCGCTGATACGTAATCAACCAGGATGTGATATCCGAATACTGTTTCGATACGAAGATGGGCCGGGTAGACCGGCCTGGCTTCAGCAGCGACTTCCGTTCCATCTTCCGAGGGCTTACCGAGCTTGGGCACATGGCCAAGTTGACTCCTCTTGTCATGATGCTGTTCGATAGTCTACCCGATAATGTCGTCCTCTTCTTGAACCCCCGGATTAAGATGCTACAGGAGTACGACGCATCGTGCCTGGCCCTAGCGAAGAGGCTTTTGAGAGCGGAGAGTGAGGGGTAAGGTACTCGCACCCAGTCCCAAATACCGATCCTTACCCTCTGTGCAGATCATGGGAGGACAAAGGTCACCCGACGGTGTTCCGAGAGATCATCGCCAGTGCGGACTTACCACCATCTGAGAAAACACCCGAGCGCCTCCAAGCGGAAGCGAAAGTCATCATCAATGCCGGGACGGTGACAACGTCCTGGGCATTGACGTCGGCGCTCTGGCACCTGACGGACAACCCAGACCAACTCGCGAAACTGCGTGCCGAGATCCGCACCGTCATGTCTGACCCCCGACACAAGCCAGCTAGACTGCAGCAGCTAGAGCAGCTACCGTACCTGACGGCGGTGCTGAACGAGGCGCTACGCATCAGTACGGGCGTGACAGCAAGATCGGCGCGAATCGCCCCCGACCGGATACTCATGTACGATAACTGGGAAATACCCCGGGGCACCGCCGTAACGCTGACGGCTGCCCACGTGCACTTCGATCCCGCCATCTTTCCGAACCCAAAGGTTTTCAATCCGGAGCGGTGGGTGGGCGAGGCTGAAGCGCGGCAGCGGCTCGAACGATATCTCGTCGTGTTCTCGAAAGGCACCCGGGGCTGTCTTGGCATCAAGTACGTTGACCCCATGGCTCACATCTGACAGAATCATCGTTGCACCTTTGGACTTTTGTAGCTGACGGGCGCATCACCAGCTTGGCTTGGGCGGAGCTCCGCATCATGCTTTCCAATCTTGTGATGCGGATGGACCTCGTGCCGTTTGAGACTACGAAGGACAACATTGAGTTGTACAGCGACATGGTTGTCCCGGAGCCGAAGAATTACCAAGAGCCAGCGCAATTCCTGATTCGATAAGAGACGAGGGAATGCGGCGACTGCATGCAATGTCACCAGCTGTGCCAGGACACACTACTGCCGAATATGTAGGTGGGTGGCCTGTCGGTCATTGTAGCCTTTACGGATGCCCTACGTGCATACTGCTGGCTCGACGATGCTTGGACTATTCCCCTTGGCGCATTGAGTCATACGAGTCATTTGGGATTCTCCTACTGAGTATACGACAGTATTTCTTGGAGTTGGCAGCTGGCTATGTCACGGCTGAGAGCTGTGAGCGAGCCCTTTTAATAACTTTCACTGCAGGTTCAGTCTGCTATGGCGCGATGTTGCCAGCGGCAAATCAAGCGAGGCATGATTCACAAATCGATCTGTACAGGTAGTGTGATATTCTCGCTAGGACCCATGCTGCTAGTAGCCGATGCTGAGATCAATGTGCGATCACGCCGCACTTCTATTCTAGGTACATGCTTTGCAGCTGGCCCAAAAGAGGCGGCGGTCTTTAAAGGGGTGGCTCCGCTCACCACGGGATGAATTGATCAATCGTTTCATTGAAGAACTTCCCTGAATGATCCTTCTTCGTAGCATTATTGACCTGTGGTACTCAATCGGTCAGTAAAGGACATTCTATCATCAGTATATCCGCGCACATGCCCACTCACGATGTTGGCGGTCTTCGTGCTGCACTCTTTCAGGGTGACAGGGGCCTCCTCCAGACCGAACGCCTGCGCTGCCATATTGCCCATCTCCGTCTGCACGATCCTTGCGATCAAGTCAGACACGGCCAGTACAGACAGACTGGGCAGAAATCAGAGGCACACAGAGCAAGCTTACCCGGGATGAATACACAGCGTGATCAGCCAGTCGTTCTCCAAGCCCATCTTACGCACCAGCGAGTTGGCCACCGCCTTGGACGAGGCGTAGCTGATGTTAGGGTACGGATACCTCTCCATCTCCGTCAGGCTCCCCCCAATAGCACTAATAAAAGCGAACCGAGCCGGGCGGGCCGCCTTGCGCAGCAGTGGCAGCATCGCCTTGTACAGCAGCATGACGGAGATCCCGTTGACCATCAGGCCCTCTTCGTAGTCCTCGAGGGAGATGTCCTCCACGCTGCCCATCTTGACCATCCCGGCGGCCGAGACGATGACATCGAGGTGGGTCACGTTTTGGGTTTGGATGTCCGTGGCGGCTTCGAACGCGTCGGTTTTGGAGGACGAGTCTATCTTTGTGATGAGGACGGTCGTGTTTGCGCCTTTCGGCACATTGTGGAGGCTCTGGGCTCCGTTGACGTCGCGCACGGCGGCGATGACGGTGTTGTTTGGCTGTGCTGCGTAGTGCTCGAACATGCCGCAGCCGATGCCTAGGTGCTTTGACGGCGCCGATTAGCTTGTGATGTCCTGTTGGGTCGGAATGAGGAGTGGCATTGAACGTACCGCGGTTGGCGCCAGTGATCAGGTACGTCTTGCCCATCGTTTTGGAAATTGGTCTCGTCCGCTGCTGGATGTGATTCAAGATGAGAATATCAAGATTCCCTCTAGCTTTAGCATTGGCTGGACTTTTTCGTTGGCCTGAAGCTGTTTATCAGCAATGTCGCGCAAGCCCCGTGGACTTCCACGGCAATGGGTCGGGTGCCATGTGGAGTACGGCCATGGCAGGAATATCACGCCAACTCGCCACGGGGTTCCACGGCGATGTTGCAGTGGTAGCCATGTTGCAAATTTGTCGTCTGGACGCCAGGCTGGGAAAAAAACCCGTGATCTGTTGATAAGAGGAGGTTGCGGACTTGAAGTCAATTATTTTTAGAACTGTCATCAGTAATCCGCGGACTGGAGCTCTATCTACCGACCCCATCCATACCGTTGAAAACATTTGGCTACTTTCGCAGCATGGCTCATGTCAAGGTCTCATGCCCTTCGTCTTTAGTTTCTCCCAGACCTTCTCCTCCTCGATCATGATGTTCTTGCCACTGAAGTCACCACTGGGGTCAATGGGCGGCAGCAGGGTGCCGTAAGGCACAACGCGCACTTTTACGTCCGGTATCTCCTTGGTGCCAAACTGCATCTCCTCAACGACCTGGCCATCGCCATACTGCGCATTAGTCACTATGCTGAACATGACCTCGGCGCATTCTGTAGACGCCATGTTCATGTCTTCCTCCCGGACCTTGCCGACACAATACTCCTTCACGACGGCCGGTGTGAAGGTAGTCGCCGGACATATGACAGCCACCCAGGTTCCAAGGCGAGACCGCATCTGAGCCAGACTCATGATAAAGTCGCAGAGACCGGCCTTGCTTGAGTTATATAAGGGGCGTGCCGACGGAAGGTAGTTAGTTAGGCACTGAGAGACGCCACGAAGAGCGAATTGCCGGCGACCTTGTTCTGGAGCCAGTAGTCGAGGGCTGGCTGGACAAACCGGATCGGGCCCATGAGGTTGACGGCGAAGATCTGGTAGACTCCGGGAGCGGCTTTTGGATCGTCCTTGGATTGGGGGGAGGTACCCGGGGGGTTCCTGAAGGTATACGTTGGGGGTTCCCTGTCGCATGTCAGATATTTAGGTTCTTGTTCATAAGACTCCCGCCTCTTGTCATGTCAATGGTAGGGGGAAGCCCGGATGGCACCATACTGACCAGATTCCTGCCCCAGGGCAAAGCAGGTCGACTCTGCCAAACGTCCTCAGGGCGAAATCCCAGGTCTCGGAGATCTGGGACCAGTCGGACTGGTCCATCTGGTGAAAGACTGCGGATGGTGATCCGTCTTTCGGTGGATGAGGGAACCTCGACAGTGTCTCTTCGGCTTCAGGGCGCAGTGCGATATCTGCAAAGATGACCGATCAGCCACCATCCAGGAGGTGCTCAGCAAAAGCATGGTTGGTACCTGGCGTTTTCACATGCGTCAGCTCTTTCGAAAATGTATAGTATGTGCTAAACGAGGTAGTGACAAGGTACTTACCACTGCCGGCTCCGGTGACAATGGCGAATTTGCCTTTCACGTCCCAAGAAGACATCTTAGTTGGAATGCAAGGAGAGTGTCACACTCTTTGAACCGTCCCTGCGAGCACTGAGGGGAATTCGTGGATTATGGACCTGTTTCGATAAAAGGTATCGTATCCAGTGAGAAGCGACCCCCCACTGCGATCCATCGAGGAGCTGAAGCTGCATGGTGACATGGTCTGTGGAGACTGCCCAATCATGGCTCAGGTCTATCATATGATCGTGGGTAATTGTTGCAGGCGAATATTGCTATATTGGTGTATGTGGCTGTATGCGTGGAGGCCGTGGCACTGAAGGTGGCCTATACCCTCACATGGTGCACCTGGCGGTCACCCAGGGCAGCAATAGTAGTACTGCGGCGTAAGGTATTCGGCAGTTTTTATCCTTCTTCATGGGCCCAACTTTCAAGACGTGCACATTTTCCTTCCGGAGCTGTTGACACCCATAAACTTCATCCCACTCTCAACACCACGGCAGAGACCTACAAGACTCCGTATCGCCACGGACCAGAACATAATTACCGCAGGCACCCGTTCGTGTTGAAGAGGGGCCGTGACAGCTCGAAGCTCACCTCTAATCAAGTCACGATATTGGAAATCAGTGTTCGAATGCCGAGTATGCGATGCCAAGTGGCTACCCCATGAGGATGCAAACGTCGTACCTGAGGTTCTGTATGTGACTTCCGAATGCCGGTTCTCGGCGAGCAGGTTGCTCTGGCGCGATGTATCATGGACCACCTTTGGCACACTTACTTCAAGCCTTGTCCAATAGGGGCTCGCTCAAGAACTTCTCACATGTTATCCTGAATCCCGTCTCGGCGAGAAGGTATTTGGGTGCGGACGACGGGGTATCTATCTTTAGAGACGGACCCGCATGCCAAGTAGCACCGCTCCGGACTAGAACAGATGGTGCCGTTGAGGGATATCGACGTCTCTAAGAAAAATGTAAGCCAAGTATCCGACATGAGTCTGCGACTTAGAGGCTAGCATTGTACAGAACAGTAGGGTATGAGATATGAGGCGGTTGTTACCCATGAGCACACACTTGGTCGTATCGACTCCTCGAATTGAAACCGTGGCATTCATAACCCACCATGCGGACCTCATATCCTCATTTTTCTGTACACTTGCCAGCAAAGAAGAGCCAAAGCGACCATAGATCGATCCTATGGTCCCCGGAAGACAAAGCCATCAACGATGCAGGCGATCAAACCTCCCACCCTCACCCAGCTACTGCTCCTGGTCACGTCCTTGATAGGCCCCTCAAGCGCCTTCGACCCTACGACTCGCGATTGCGAGAGCATCTGCCTAACGTCCTTCCGCTGGTGCTCGACGTTGCATTCCGCGGACGGGTGCACATACCCAGCCGACTCGTACCCCTACTACGATCGCGAAGAGGGGAGCAATCCGGCGATGTTGGTCATGAGCAAGTCGTATAACATCACCTGGAAGAACGCAGTGCCCAACACGCCTGTGCGCATCAGGTGGATGTTCACCAACGCGACCGAGGCGTCGTTCGTCGGCGTTAAGGGGGGTGCGTGGATGGATATAGTAGCGCAGACCGAGTGCATCATCTTTTGGAGAAGGTGAGGAGAGGATGAGTTTGGAAGAGTTACTGACCCGGCCGGTGACCCTCTGTTCTAGACACAACCAACTCATTTTACAATTTCACCCTTGGTGAGATCCTCGACTCATTCCCCACGGCGCAGGCACCGAACCTAAGCGCTGGCGAGGCCCGCAGCGGCGCTGCGCGCAACATCTTGAACATTATCAGCATCGCGCAGCCGGAAGCCAAAGGGGCACAGCAACAGAGCGGGCAGTACTCCTCCGGCGCGGCCGTGGGCGACTCGTCGCAGCAGTTCACTGTGCAGGGGGACATCGTCCGGACATACCTGGAGGCGGCGGCTTCGAGAACACGCAGGGATGAGCACGATACGTGGAAGCTGGGGTCGGGGTGGGGGTCGGGGTGGGCGTGCCGCTGTTGATCGTGCTCACGGGCTTGATCAATTGGTGGGTCATAAGGAAGAAGCTGAGAAGGACTGAAGTTTTGCACAAGTGAATGCACTGGCACAGGTGTATAGTTAAGGATTGTTTGAAATTTAGGCATCAGGTGTACCATGGTCTTGGGTTACAGGCTGATCCAACGCATTACGGATAGTTGCAATGGTTTAACGTTGGTAAAGGATCATCGAGGTCCTTGTTGCATGAAAAGACTAAGTATAGTACGTACCCCCATGGTCGGCTACTCGAATGCTAAAGACAGACCTAGCCGGCGGCTTCTGGACTTCAGATTGGGGAAGGCCGGCCATCGTGAGACAGGCGCTTGTGGCGTTGGTCATACTCAAGAGGCTGCAGTTCACCTTCTGTGTTTCAGGAGAATCAATAAATAAGGCAAAAGTCCGTGTTGCTTCTGCTTCCCCTTTCTCCTGACATCTGCAAGCACCACAAGCACAAGATGGGTTCAATAGAAGGAACCTCCCACGGGGCCTTCACGACGCTGCCACGCGAGATCCTGCGCCTAGCCTCAAATCTTGACAGCCAGATAGCTTCCCACGGGCGAGGAGCGACTACCTCTGACATCGACACACTTGAAGAATTGCCAGCCGACGTCAACGCTACCAGAGATGAGTTCATCGACAAGACCCAGACAGCAAAGCGGCTCGCTCAGGGGGCAAGGGGTGCGCTATGGGAGTTGGGGTTTCAAGTGAGGCCTACTCTCCCATCAAGATCCATGGTGGTTGCTAATGTGATCTCGGTATTGCGGGAATAGTTTACTGATGAGATGACGCTCCGCGCGATCCATGAATTTCGTCTTGCCGAACAAGTTCCACTGGATGGTTCAGCAACTTTGGGAGAGATTGCGCAGGACAGCGACTTAGATGCGGAGACGGTCGAGCGCATCCTACGGCACGCAATGTCAAGTCACATTTTCAGCGAAGCCCCCGGATCCCCGCCAGGACGCGTCGTACATACGGCCATCTCACGCCTGTTGGCGACTGGCCCCGATGCCTTGAGCGCTGTGGGAAGTATGTCATTCTTCGTAGACTCAGTCTGCACGACCATTACCGAGTGGATTGTTCAACCTCAAGCGAGCTAATAAATACATTTTTGCAGTGGTTGTCCACGACCTAGCTCCTATCGGCACACGTCTCAACGATGCTCTCCGTGCTCAGCGCCACCTCCCAGCCAACGAGCGATACGAGCCTACAAACGCGGCTACGGCACTGGTTTTCGGAGAAGGTGCTTCGTTCTTCGGGGTGTTGGCCGGCGACAAGGAGCGCGCGGCGCGCTTCGGGGGTGGCATGCGACACTTCGCCCACGGTGCCGCTTGGGATGTCAAACACCTATTGACTGCTTACGACTGGTCAAGCGTCGACCACTCGGGGGCGGTGCTCGTCGACGTCGGCGGTGGCATAGGTGCCGTCCCTCGTGCTCTGGTAGACGCCACCCAGCACTTAGGCTATATCGTCCAAGACCTTCCGGACACGGTGGCTGACGGCGTCGATGCACTGCCGCCCTCACTCTCATCTCGGGTCGCGTTCGAGGCGCACAACTTCTTCGATCCTCAGGAACGACGCGGTGTGGACGTCTACTTCCTTCGCTGGGTTCTACATAACTGGAGTGACAAGTACGTCCTGCTCATCTTGCGGGCTCTTGTCCCTGGAATGAAGCATGTAACAAATTGATCATCAACGAATTCGTGCTGGTGGATGGACCTGAGACCAGGCTTTTGAGGAAGCAGCCCCGGTCAGTACCACTTTTGGTGACGTATTGGAGAAATATGGGTAGCTTGCGTGCTAACAATGTGACACCATTATAGCAATATGGATCTCGTCATGCTGGCGGCTTGGAACTCAGCCGAGCGAACAGAAGCTATGTGGAAAGTGCTCATCGAGATGGCGGACCCCAGGCTCCGATTTGAGGGTGTACGGCAGCTTGAAGGAAGCCTGTTGAGTATTGTCGAAGCGGTTTGGGAAGAGCCTTGAGCAGGGGCGGCCTAAGCTGTAAACTCTTACGAACTTCACAGGTGAAGCTAGCTCTGACGACTGGATTGAATGTGCTAGTGATTCACATTTGTCTACAACTCGAACACAGTTGCCAAAAACAATTATTTTTCTTGGCGCCCCGCTGTTAGGGCACAACCTTGATATTTGTACTGAAGCAGGCACTTTTCTCAGTAACTGACTATCTCTGTCAAGGTACCGGAGAATTTTTCTCATAAGCCCGATGGCACCCTTCCATGACGGGCCCCCAAACACGCCCGTGGCCGTCCCAAAGACGACCACTGGCGGCGTGCTCAAATCCCCGGCCCTTAGAAAGACATATAGCCCGGCAACTCCGAGCAGGCTCCGCCAAGCGCTGCTTGACGACATCAGCAACAGCCCGTCACAGGTCTCCGAGGCTGACTTTACCGTTATTTCCCCTCTGAAAGGAAAATCCTGAAATGTCAATAATGGCAGCACCACTGAAATGGAACAACCTCAATTAAAAGAAATCTCTGCAGACCAAGCCATTGGATGTAATATAAGGAGCAAAGCCTCTTCTTCAGAGTGCCAGGACCAAGTTGCCAAGATACTGGCTAAAGACAAGCACCTCTATGAAGCCAGGATGAGAATGTTTCAGGAGTGTGTTGCAACAGTTGATAAGACACTTGAGGAAGCTGGAACCGAACTATGCTCTTATGCCAAGGAATTCAGCGCATTTTTCTCTAAATGTCTGAACGAGTGGTTGGAAACCCAAGATCCGCCCAAAAAGAAGACCATCCCTGGGGGGATAGGGATGGTAAAGCCCACCATGACCTTTGCCCAAACTGTCTCCTCTAGCCAACAACAGCATCCACGGACAGTCAATATTACCATAAAGAAAACACAGCCTGGCACCCGTATCACTGCCAACCAACTAAAGAAAAAACAGGATGATCTCCGGGTCATTGTCCGCATGGATAATAACCACCTAGAGCCTTACGGAATAAAGTCTATACTGAACAAAAGACTTAAGCTCCACCCTTAAGAGCTTAGAGAAGTGACCCGGTGCCCCTCCGGATTTACCTTACACCCAAGGGACAAGCCAACTCAGGCTAAGCTTCTGGCCTTCCAAGAAGAAATCACCGATATTCTTAAGGCAGAAAAGATCAAGACCCACACGGTCTGGCATCACTATAAGGTCAATAGATGCACAAGGAGGGCATAAGTGTGGAAGGGTTTATAATTGATATTACCGACATTACTGTTGCTGATGAAGTTGAAGCCCAAACAGGTGACAGACCTTTAAGGTGCATACTCTCAAGGAACACAGTTGATTCTGATCTGGAGACCACATAAGTGATCTCTGTGAGATTTCAAACCGTTCTGTATTGAAAGGAAAGAGAAGAAGATCTCTGGGGGAGAAGCCCCCATATGTACAGGTGTGCCATCAGGGTGACCAGATAATCATACGATAATGGCGCCAGGATCCTGGTGGCCTGAGGGTGGGCTGACTGCCCTGAAGCTAAACCCATTAGCGCATTCAGCCCCGAAAGCCTCAGCCTGGTATGATATCCAACACGCCCTCTCAAACTGAAGGCATCACCACCACACAACTATAACTAACAGTTCATAAAACCTAGATCTTAGAGTACTACAGCACTCTTGAACCCCCTATTTGACTTCAATGAGTCCTAATAGCTGTAAGAACGAGCTAAACTTCGCCTTTGGCATGGCCTTGGTAAGGCCATCAGCTGGCATCTCGTCAGTACCAAGGAACTGCAGCGAGATGTGTTTAGCCTGAATTTCCTGGCGAATGTAATGCTCTCGCACTCGAATGTGCTTCGTTCGGCGATGGAATTCGGTGTTCTGAGCCAGATGAATGGCTCCAGCACTGTCAGAGTGCAATAGGAGGGTGTCCAGGGTGTATCCAAGCTCGTTCATCAGCTCTCGTAGCCAGGCAGCCTCCTTCACGGCTTCACTGATGGCATAATACTCTGATTCAATAGTAGATTGTGCCACAACAGTCTGTAGCTTTGAGGACCACGAGATAGCGCCTCCAGCAAAGGTGAATAGGTAGCCAGATATTGATTTGGTACCATCCTTGATGCTGCCAGTGTAGCTAGCATCACAATAACCAAGTAAAAGGGATGAGACGATGCCAGTGACCTCATCAGAGGTCATTTTGGCGAATTCAGGGCCTCCAAAACGAATGCCCAGGTCCTTCGTGTTCCAGAGGTATCGAAGGAGCCCCTGAGCCGCAGCAAGTTGTGCAGTTCTGGGGCGATAGAGGTATCGCGAAAGTACCCCCATCGAGTAGGAGATGTCAGGACGGGTGTAGCATGCAGGAAAATTCTCAGAGCCAATTAAGGATTGGTACTTGTGAGTTACCTCGGGCGAACCGCCATCCTCGGTGTCATCCTGGTCCATCTTCTCAACCGTTTGAGGCGAGATGGGTACGTTCACACGCCCAGTTCGAGCCTGATCGAAGGTTTCAGCAGTGCGTTGAATGTACGTGCTCTGTGACAGCCACAGAGTGCTTTTTGTACGATCCCTGACGATTTTAACGCCAAGAAAGTGCTGGGCAGCGCCCAAATCCTTTATTTCAAAGGCAACAGAGAGATCCTGCTTGAACAGATCAACCTTAGAGCGGTCGGCACCCAGGATAAGGAAGTCATCCACGTAGCTAATCACGAAAATGCCACGCTCCTTGGAGTAGTAGACGGCGTTATCAGAGATCAGAGGCTCAAAGCCAAGTGTCTGAAGCGCACCGCGAAGGCGCTTCTGCCACTGACGAGGGCTCTGCTTGAGGCCATACAGGGGCTTTTTGAGCTTAAGGATCATCCCTCGTTGCCAACCAATGGTGTTCTCTTCTGGATACATCTCAAAGAAGTCATCCAGGCCGTCAGGGGTCTCCATATAGATCTCCTCATCTAATTCTCCCATCAGGAAGGCCGAAACGGCGTCTATTTGGTCGATCTCTCAATCCAGAATGGCTGAGAGAGCCAACAACAATCTCCAGGTGGTTGTGCGCGCGCCAGAAGCTTGAGTCTCGAAGTAATCGAGACCATAGCGCTGCATAAACCCACGAGCAGTGATTCGATCCTTGTATCGAGCTGTTTCACCAGTAATCGGGTCCTTCTTGCGCTTATAAACGTGACAAGAGGTCAAAGGCTTGCGATTTCGAGGCATTTCTGACCTCCAGAGTGCCGAAAAGGTCTTGTTACGCAGTAGCGCGCGTATCTCGAGATGAGTACCTTCTAACCATTGAGGTGCTTCAACTGACGCCATTGCCTCCCGATAGTTGGAAGGTTCATCCGTTTTAGGAAGCGCTTGATCAGGGTCAGCAGAAGGCCAATTAGCATAGGAAGCCTGAATTGTAGCATATGTAGAGATCCCGGGAGTTGTGATCTCAGAAACGTAGTGGTTCTGCGACCCGCGGGTGCGCCCTCCGGATAACACGTTGCCAGGATTGATCCCAGCTTGTGATCGCGGTACTGGAGTCGGCCTATGAGATAGATTCCGCTGAGGCGATTCCGATGATCTAATCGGCGTGACAATTGGGCCAATATCGGGCTCAGAATCGCTGAGTGTCGATTGAGGGTAGCCGCTGCCATCATCGGATGCGACCGGTGAGATGACCGGAGTGCCTAAAGTAATGACGGGCTCAGGGACATTTATCCAGCCCTAATCTTCTTTATCTGACTCATCCGATATATGCTGAAGATCGTCAGCGCCCTCTGAAGAAAATGGCTTCTTTAGATTGTCTTCCTTATGGATGGTTTGCTCGTAATCGTTAAGTGTACCTTAGAAGTCTGGGAAGATGTGGATTGATTCCCCAGAAGCGATGTACCCATCTAGAATTTCAAGATGTGCACTGGTGATGACCGTCTGTGATTCAGGCAAGTAAACCTGATACTGATTAGAGCCAATTGAGCGAAGAATTCGCCCTTTTCTCGCATGAGGAGCCGTCTTGTTGCCCTGAACGCGGCGCTGACGTGGCAGATGGACCACGGCAGCCTGCCCGATTGGGAGGAGATTGCTCAGATCAGGCTTGTTATCCTTGCCAGGAGTTAAATTGTCAAAGAAGACCTCATCTGGGGTCCTGTTATCCTTCTGGAGGAAGGAGGTGTAGCTCACGTTAAGCCGATCACATACTGCAGGGCCAATAATCGGCCAGAGAGACTCTGGCAGCTTCATCTGCTCGATAACACTTCGAACAAACGAATGAATCACGCCAAGAGAGCGCTCTGCCACCCCATTTTGCTCAGGAGTATATGGAGCGCTCAGTTCGAATTCGATACCTTCAGATCGGCCCCATTTAACGAACTTGGCGTACTCCGTGCCGTTATCCAAGCGAAAACAGCGAGGGTAGCGACCATACTGGAGCTTCATCCGCTTGCAATAAGAAATACAGATTTCTGAAGCCTCGCCCTTTTGCGCGTGAGGATGATATTCACGCTTTCGTGACTTGCCATCAACTAGCATCGTGGCTCGTCTAGAACCATCGTATCCTTCAGCCAAATGGTACGCGGTATCAGTATGAACCACGTCAAGGGCCTGATCTGGATGTTCTTGCTTGACTCGGGAGACCATTCGACGGAGATTCGTCTCCAGACAGTCCAAGCAGGTGAATTCCTTTGCCAATTCGAGCGTATTTGGCGGTAGATCGATGCCTTTGACGATTTTAGCCATTTTGACGATATCGCCAATCGATCGGTGGCCCAGCTTCGTATGCCAGAGGTGAAGGAGCTTCATAGCCTCCCCTTTGGCCCTCAATTGGGCATCAGGATCACTCTCTTCCTCTCCTTCTGCTGGGAACAGATTGATGAATGCCTGCGGAGCGCGCATAATGTTGTAAACCTCCTTCTGTAGCGGTGGAGTAATTACCTTCACATACATGCCGTTGTGAAGGGATGTCACCTAGGTGTCAGCAGAGTCAAATAGATCCCGAATTATCAAATACCAACCCTGACGATATAACTGATCGCCAGAGAGGAGGTTGATCTGGAAGGAGGGCACGT